GTGAAACAGATACCTCCTAATCTCTTCCTAAAGGAACGGACTTTCTTTGCAACAGAGGGTGGGGAAATTCAAGCCTAAAGGTGTTCTCCAAAAAGGTAGAGGCTGTGGCAAAAGCCACAGGGAGGAGTTTGCAGGAGAGAGGGGAAGGGACAGCTGGGAGGGGCTAATCCTTCCAAGGAGCCTGAGTCCGCAGGGCAGTTCAGGCCCCGGGGCATTTTTGCAAGCAGAGGACAATCAGCAGGTACTGAATGGAGTTTAACAGCTGTGTGGGGTCGCCAGAAAGAGAGGAAGAGAGCCTAGTGGAAACCACTGCCATCCCAGGTGACATGGGCACACCCGAACTGCACATCCTGGCAGAGCAACACCAGGGAACTGGGCAGTGGGGCTTCCCCTAAACAAGCCTTCGGTCACTAAACAAACAGGCAAATAACAAGTCTGGGGGGTGGGGGTTACCAGCACTCAAAGTTGCTATAATATCTTATCTAAAATGTCCCTTTTCTAACAAAAATGTATAAGACAAGCCAAGAAGCAGGAAAGCATGGCTTTTATACTGGAAAACGTCCGCTCCACTGGGAATGATGCAGGGCCCCGGTGGCCTCAGCGGGGACCGTCCCAGTGATCAGTAGGTGGAGAAACCAGATAACAGAGAGAAATGGAGACGGCGCGGACTTCCCCTGCCAACTCCAATGAAAAGAGAAGGAAGTAGCTAAGAGGAAGCCCCGCTCCACAGAGGTTGTTGCTGGAGCTTGTTTTGCTTGCGAGGATGTTACCCGGGGGCATGTTCACACACTGGAATTAGGAGCTTGTGGAGGGGAGGGAACGGCTGCCCAAGCAAGGCCCCAAGAGGCAGGAGGTAGGAGGACACAGCAGAGGCTGGCTTTCCCCGAAGTGCCTGGAGCGATGCAGGCGAAGCTGCGGGAGTGTTGGGAGACCGTTCTCAGTGGGTCTGTCCCATTTCTGCACACACTGTGAGCAGAGGCCCTAAGTGCCCTTTTGTTCCAGACAGTGTCTTTAGGCTGTTGGTATAGCAAACCGCCTTGGAAGATGAAGACAGCATCCTCCTCTGGAGCAGAGCGCAGATTTTTTTACTGTCCAGTATAGTAGGACAACGGGAGGGTTGCTTGCAGCCCACTATAAACCCTTCTGCTTCCCTTTGTCCAGGGCTCCTCGGTTGTGCAGCAGACTCACTGTGTGGCCCTTCCTGGGCCCCTCTGCCTCACCCTCATGGGACTTGAGTGACACAATCATAAAGCCTACGCTGCCTGCTGTGACAATCAAGTCCTTTGTCTCTGACCCAGGAGTCTTTTTTTTTTTTCTATCCTCACCCGGGGATATTTTTCCATTTTTTCGTACAGATAGAATGGGAGGGAGAGAGAGGAAGGGAGAGAGAGACAGAAACATCGACGTGAAGGGACACCTCGAGTAGCTGCCACCCGCATGACCAACCAGGGCCGGGGACAAACTGCAACCGAGGTACATGCCCTTAACAGGAACCGAACCCGGGCCTCTCCGGACCACAGGCCGACGCTCTAACCGCTGAACCAAACCGGCCAGGGCTGACCCAGGAGTCTTGTGTCTTCTGTCAGCATCCGTGAAACTTTTGGGCAGGATGGTCCCTGGAGCTAAAGACAAGGGAAAGGCTGGTGTGGAGAGCCCAGCTGAAGGCAGATGCACAGAGGTTCCATTCTCTGGGATGTGATCATTGCCAGCTGCCTCAGCCAGACCGCATGGAGGAGGGTGCACTTTGCAGGTAGATGAGAGCAGGAATCCAGGTCTGGGTTCTGCTGGGCAGAAAGCCAGGAACACAAGAGAACCTGGGTTACCAGGAGAAAGGAGCTCGGATTATGACCTCCAGAGTCCTACCTGGACAGGACAGAAAGCTCTGGGGCAGAGTAATACCCTGGGAAGCAGTGGAGGGGTGGAGATGGGAGGGCCTGTGAGGCTGCAGAGTAGGGATGAGAACTCCAGGTGGGTGGATAGCAGGCTTTGGTCTGAGTGGAATATCGCCATTTAGGCTCTACAGGTGGATCAGATTGGGGTGGAGGTCAATCAACACCCTCCCCCCTTGAGGTTGGAGTCCAGGCAGGTGGAGGCTGGGCTGTGGTGGGGGCCAAATTTGTAGGTTTAAAGATGAAAAATTGAAGAAATTCATGAAGTAGGTGAGGCCATTGCTGAGACTGAGGGGTAGGCAAGGGATTTGGGGGCTCAGAAAGAGGGTCTGATATTTTTGGGGTTTTGTTTGGTTTTGGTTAATCCTCACCTGAGGATATTTTTCCATTGATTTTTTTAGATAGAGTGGAAGGGAGAGAGAGAGAGAGAGAGAGAGAGAGAGAGAGAGAGAGAAACAGCGATGTGAGAGAGACACATGAATTGGCTGTTTCCCGCATGACCCCAGCTGGGGCCAGGGATTGAACCTGCAACCCAGGTACATGCCCTTGACCGGAATTGAACCCAAGACCCTGTGGTCTTTGGGTGGATGCTATAACCGCTGAGCCAAACCAGCCAGGGCAAGGGTCTGATGTTTTATTAACCACTGAGGAAATGGGAGAAGGCACCCTGATTTGGACGCCTGACCACAACAGAGACTGAAGTGAAGAAAACATGAAAACATCCCGGCCAGTGTGGCTCCGTGGTTGAGCGTCGACCCATGCACCAGGAGGTCCCCGCTGGAGTGCCCAGTGGTTGAGCGTCGACCCATGCACCAGGAGGTCCCCGCTGGGGTGCCCAGTGGTTGAGCGTCGACCCATGCACCAGGAGGTCCCGCTGGAGTGCCCAGTGGTTGAGCGTCGACCCATGCACCAGGAGGTCCCGCTGGGGTGCCCAGTGGTTGAGCGTCGACCCATGCACAGGAGGTCCCCGCTGGGGTGCCAGTGGTTGAGCGTCGACCCATGCACCAGGAGGTCCCCGCTGGGGTGCCCAGTGGTTGAGCGTCGACCCATGCACCAGGAGGTCCCCGCTGGGGTGCCCAGTGGTTGAGCGTCGACCCATGCACCAGGAGGTCCCCGCTGGGGTGCCCAGTGGTTGAGCGTCGACCCATGCACCAGGAGGTCCCCGCCGGAGTGCCCAGTGGTTGAGCGTCGACCCATGCACCAGGAGGTCCCCGCCGGAGTGCCCAGTGGTTGAGCGTCGACCCATGCACCAGGAGGTCCCCGCCGGAGTGCCCAGTGGTTGAGCGTCGACCCATGCACCAGGAGGTCCCGCTGGAGTGCCCAGTGGTTGAGCGTCGACCCATGCACCAGGAGGTCCCCGCCGGAGTGCCCAGTGGTTGAGCGTCGACCCATGCACCAGGAGGTCCCCGCTGGAGTGCCCAGTGGTTGAGCGTCGACCCATGCACCAGGAGGTCCCCGCTGGGGTGCCCAGTGGTTGAGCGTCGACCCATGCACCAGGAGGTCCCCGCTGGGGTGCCCAGTGGTTGAGCGTCGACCCATGCACCAGGAGGTCCCCGCTGGGGTGCCCAGTGGTTGAGCGTCGACCCATGCACCAGGAGGTCCCCGCTGGAGTGCCCAGTGGTTGAGCGTCGACCCATGCACCAGGAGGTCCCCGCTGGGGTGCCCAGTGGTTGAGCGTTGACCCATGCACCAAGAACTTGCTCATTTGCTTCCCGGTCAGAGCACATGCCCAGTGGGGGACATGCGGGAGGCAGCCAGTCAATGTTCTCTCTCATCGATGTTTCTGTCGCTCTCTCCCTCTTCCTTCCTCTCTCTGTAAAATCAATCAAGGAAAACAAACAAACAAAAAAACATGCCTCACCTTGCTACCTGCTGATGACACTACCTAGAACTGCTTTTTTCATTCTTTTTTTATTAAAAACAATTTTTGTTTCTTTATTGCTTTAGAGAGAGAGGAAGGGAGAGGGAGAGAGAAACATCTATGAGAGAGAACACAGACTGGCCACCTCCTGCCCGCCCCCACTGGGGATCAGGCCCACAACCTGTGCCCCTACCAGGAATCGAACCCACAGCCTCTTGGTGCTTGGGTGACTCTTATCCACTGAGCCACACCGGCCGGGCGGCATTGTTTTTTTAATGATGAGAACTGAGACTAAAAGACGGCTTCCTGACCACAGGCACAGGCTCCAGGGAGCCTTGTCCTTGGACAGGTAACAGCCTTGCTCCCACACAGGTGAGAGCAGAAAGCTGGTGGAAGGACACCAGGTCCCCTGGTCCCTGCAGTTTCCGACAGTCGCGGGGGGCGGGGGGGGGCGTTGGAGTGTTTCCCGGGGCTTTGGGGTCTAAGAGCAGGAACTGCCCACTGGAGAAGACACTAGCTCATCCAGGTGTCTCCACCTGGGAGGGCGGTTTCAAGAGCACAGGCCTGAGCTTCCCCAGGCTCCCTGGGGACACCGGAGCCCCTGCCAGACCTCCCTGGTGGTCTCTCTGTGGCTGGGATCTCCAGGTTGGCCTGGTTTGGCAACGGGAAGGCAGTGCGTTAAGGGCCCTGGCCGCCCTGGACAGTAACCAAATGAGTGGGTAACAGCCCCGGCTCCCCGCCCATCCCATGCCCCAGCCGCCCGGCCTCAGCCCACGTCAGCCGGTCTGAGCCCAGGGCTCCCGCATCCTCCCCACTTCCCCAGCTGTCCGAGCGAACCAGCCCCTTCACTGCGTCCAAATCCTGGAAGGGCCCGAGGTGCCGCACCGACTGTTCTGGGGTATCCTTTCGAGGGGAGGCGCCCTCCCGGCCTCTGGCGTTCAGGGACCACGAGTGCCCCCCAGCACCACGCAGCGCGCGGCCCCCACGCCCGGGACCGCACGGGGAAGCGCCCGGCCCAGCCCCAGGCTCGCAGCATCCCGAAGCCGGACGCAGGCGGGGGTGCCAGCTGTCCCAGCGCCTCCGGGCAGCTCGGGGCGGGGCGACACTCCCCCTCCTGGGCCCCACCCGGTGGTGCTGCGGCTTCCGGCGGCCAGGCCCGGGCGGGGTGGCGCCAGAGGTGGTGGGGTAAGGGAGGGCACGGCCGGGCTGGGCCGGGCTGGGCCGGGCAGCCCGCTCCCCAGGGCCTGCGCCCTCCGCCCCGGACTGCAGCAGACGGGGCGCCCGCCGGCCGGGGCTGCATGGGGCTCCCGCGTGGCCCACTCCTCTGGCGGCTGCTCCTGCTCACGGCTGCCTGCTCGGGGGTCCTCCTCACCCTGTTCTCCTCGGCGGGGAAGCCACGCCCGGGGCTCCGGGCCGCAGCCAGGTAGGGGTGGCCGCGCGGAGGGCGCAGGGGACGGGCAGGCACGGTGCCCAGCCCAGGGCCCTCGGACTGCCTTCTGCGCCGGCCTCTTTTGGGTGACTCCCAGCAGGGACTCCGGCGGCGGCCCTTTGCCCCGGGAACCTCCACTCTGGCGCTAAACTCGCGCGGCCCCGACCCCACGCCCCCGCCGCGGTCCCGGAGGAACCTCGCCCTTTGCGCACCGGCGATCCGCCCGCGACAACCTTGTGGGTTAATTCCCTCCGGCCCTGATTAGAAACACTTGCTACAGCCCAGATTTGGCTGGGTCGGCTGAGTCCGATAAAAACAGCCCCGTTATCGGGAACTCTCCCTCGGCAACGTCACCTATTTCAGACTCTGCTTTTGGGGCAGGGACCCAAATCTTCAGGTTCCGACTTCGCCCGGATCCCCGGGTGGGCTGTGACGGGTCGCCTTTCCCGCCTGCTCCCGCCTCTGCCCTCCCGCGCCCTGCGCTCTGTTCATTTGCTTAGTCTGGGCCCCATCCGACAAAGGGCAGGACTCCCTGGGAACAGGGGTCCATTCTGGGCTCCGTCGGGTTTTCCTCCTGAGCCTCTCCTGTGCTCTGCCCCCTCCTGCTCACCGTGGGCACCTTCTTTTTATTTGTGCCCCGCGAGGAGAAACCCGAGCGCCTGGCTTTAGAGGGTTCCTCTCTGAAGGACCCTCACAAGGATTTAGCTTTCCTTCTGGAAGGTGGGCACCCCCAGCCCTGCCGGGTCGCTGGGCCCCAGCTTTCCCTTCCCAGTGCTTGCCCATCTGGGCCATTCCTCACCAACCCCTGCTCCAGGTGTCACGGAATGAAAGCACAGTGTGTATCTGTTCTCAGGGAACAAGGTCAGAGGGCACCCGAAGTTGCAATGTGAGCTTGCAAGCGACTGAGTCCAGTCCCTGTAGAATGAAGGGTGCTCTATCCAGCAGGTGATACCCGAAGTTATGGAATCGCCTTACAGTCCGAAATGGCTTAAGGAGGACTGGAAAGGGTTGAGGGTATTAAGAAAGAGGATCCTTGTCAATTTTATGTAAAGATGTTTCACAGTACAGTTAAACAACCTTTGAAAGTATCAAATACAACTCTAAATACCAGATTTGTTGAACACCCATTATACCTCAACAGAGCTTTTTTAAAAGATCTCTTTATATTTTAAAAATCTAGTACCACTCAACAACATGTCCATTTCCTTGATGCTTCCCTGATTGCGTTGTAGTGAAATCCTAGGGCAGGTCAGGACTTGGCCTGCTGGGAGTGGCTAGATGGGAGTGTGGTGGCATTCCGGGAGGAGAGCAGGCTGTGGGACCTCCCCAAGAGGACCCGAAATGGGCCTGCCCAGCTGTGGTGGAGAGGCCAGGGGTCAGGGGCCAAGGCACTGGGGCCAGCTCTCCAGTCTAAGATGGGATCTCTCGTTGCAGGTCTTGACTCACAGAAGCATCTGGACCAGTAGTTCTCAGGCATGAGGATTTCTAGACTTATCAGAAAAGTTTTTCTTTTCTTTCTTTTTTTATGAAGGAGGGGTGAGGACAGATATAGGGCGCCAGTTCCCATCTATTGTCAACATTGTTGTGTAAAAGAGAGGACATTTCAGAGCCAAAATTCCTAAGAGTTTGCTCTAAGTTGAGTGCATTTCATTTTATGAAAAATGCACTGCATTGGCCTTCCTATTCTCCTGGGCTGGGGAAACTTCCCAGAGGGGCTTAGGTGGGCTGGCCCCTCCCCTCGCTCCTTCCCCCCTCCCCAGGCAGGTGTCTGGGAGCAGTGGGAATCCTGAGGGCAGTGAGGGACTGGGAGGAGTCACTGAGTCCTGAGGGTGCCCTGGAGATGAGCAGGCCTCCCTGAGAGTAGGGGAGTTCAGGGCAGCAAGACTGAATTGGGGGGAGTCCCCATCACCTCCCCAACAACGCTGCCCCTCCTGTCTCCATCCCGCCCTGCTCAGCGGGTCCTCTGTGGGCTCTCAAGTCTGACTGCATGTTGGGTCACCTGGAAGGGGCCCTGACCAATCGGATCAGAACCTCAGGGACGGGGCCTCCTCCTGGGTGTTTTCAGAAGTCCACTGGGGTTTCGAGGCTGAGTGCCGTGTCTCAGTCCCTCCTCAGAGAGGTGCTGCTGTGCCCCAGGACGGGCTGGAGGGTTGTGTGGGTGGACAGGTGGCCAGCTCGAGAGGGAAGGGGTCGCCCCTGCTCCTCCTGCCCTGCTTCCCCGGGGTCTTACCGAAACCAGGGAGGCAGGTCACAGGCTTCCTTGTGACTCAGCTGTCTGAGCACCAAGAACTAAATAACAAGAGGCCTTTGTTTCCCTTGCAAACTGTCTATCCCTAAGCTCCCCACCTGCTCCCTTGTGGCCACTGGGAGAAGCCAGCTGACACCCTTCCAAATGGACAAGGGCCCCTCTTTTTTTTTTTAAACCCTCACCTGAGGATATTTTTCTATTTATCATCAGATAGAGTGGGAGGGAGAGAGAGAAACATCGATGTGAGGAAGACACATCAATTGGTTGCCTCTTGCACAACCCTGACCAGGGCCTTGACTGGAATTGAACCCGGGACTCACTGGTCTGCAGGCCAACACTCTAACCACTGAGCAACCTGGCCAGGGTGGCAAGGGCCCCTCTTCCTTCCTTCCTTTCTGGTTGCCCTTCGCCCTGATGCAGAGGCTCCCTGGGAGGTGAGGGCAGGGCAGTGACATTAGCCCCTTACCTCCCTGCAGAAGGGACCGTCATGGAGCCTCACACAGAAGCCCTTTCCCCTCCTTAGGCAGCCACGGCCCACGACCCTTTCTGTATGAGCTACCCCAGTCCTCAGTTTGAATCTCGCAACAATGGGATAATACGTGACATGATTATCAGTCGTGTCAAAATGATGATCCTTGCTGTTCAGATGCAGACACAGGTTCTGAGAAGTGTAGTCACTTCCCGAGATCATGGGCTACAAACCTAGGGAGTCAGGCTGCAGACCCATGCCCTTCACCGGGACCCTCAGGGCAGCAGCCAGGGCCTGTCACTGGGGTGGGCTATGCCTGCTCTGGGGCCTTGGCAGGGGACCCCGTGGACGGTCACAGTTCCAGGGTCCTGGCAAGCTTTCCTGGTTCATAGTTTCATCTTCTAACTGCTGTTCCTATAAACACCCCGGCTGCCGCTGGCCAAGGGGTTGCTTGATTTCTAGGTTTATACAGCTTGTCGGAACAGAATTTTGTGACAGCATTTTGTGTGCCTAAAGAGAGAGACATGGGCAAGAATCAGAGCCTAGAAATAGGATCAAAGGAACGGACGCCTTTGACCCTGACAGACTTTGTCAGCCCCTGGAGCTAACAGGCTTAGACAGAAGGTTCCGAGGGGCAGCCAGCCCCTGCTTAACTCGTCTCTCCCCCCCAGGACCACCGCAGCATCTCAAGCATTCTCTGGACCCACGGCAGTGAATTCTGGGACCAGAAAGGTACAGTGGTCGGCTACTCGGTACTTCTGAGCATTCTCAAGTCAGCCGGGAGGAGGGAGAGGGAAGAGCGAGCAAAGGAGGGGCATTCTCATGAGGCTGCTGAGCAGGCGCTCTCTGGAACCCCCTGGCCCCCCAAGAATGAAACCAACAGCTGAGCAGCCAGCCATCCGGGCTCCTCTGACTTGGGCACCAGGGCTCTCTGCACCCCAGTGGAGGAGGGTGAAATCAACATGTTCCCTGGGGTACAGCTAGCCAACGTTTCTTGGAAGTCCCGTGATTTCTCTTTAAAAGGCCTGTGAATTTGACACTCCACCCCTCCAAATGTCTCCGTACTATAAAAGTCGCATTTAAACTGCTTGCCACAGAGTAGACTCCAAACCCTGGGAAGATGGTCCGCGTTTGCCCGGAGGGTTTGAGAATGTTCCGGGCCCTGCTCTGTAACTAAGGGTCCATGGTGCTGTGGGACGAGGTGCCATCTCCAGCATTCCCAGGCACAAGCCTCACGGTGACCCTGTTGGGTAGCTTTGACAAATGAGAAAGAGGAGGCCCAGAGTTTGACAGGGACCTTGCTCAGGGTCACTCAGGGAGAAGAGGTGGTACTGGGTTGAGTTTCTGGTCTGACCCCAGGGCCTGGTTCACTGAGCAACAGAGCCAGGAGGACATGTGGTTGGCAGGCTGAAGAGAGGCCTCTAGTGTCTCATGAGTGCTTGGCCAGGTCACCTGCACATTCCTGGAGCTGCTTGATGCTAAATGACATATACCTCACCTGGTTTAAAAGAATTTGAAGTAGCTTTTAGATACATATAACAAGGCAAAAACATAAAACAGGATAAAAAAAAATGGGTGAAGCAGCCCTGGCCGATTTGGCTCAGCAGTAGAGCGTCGGCCCATGGACCAGAGAGTCGTGGGTTCGATTCCAGCCAAGGGCACATACCTCAGTTGCAGTTCGTCCCTGGCCCTGGTTGGGGTCATGTGGGAGGCAACCAGTCGATGTGTCTCTCTCACATCGATGTTTCTCTCTCTCTCCCTCTCTCTCCCCTTTTTTCCCCACTCTATCTGAAGATAAATGAAAAAGAAGATATCCTCAGGTGAGGATTTTTTTTTAAGTTAAAAAAAAAAAAAAAAGAAATGGGTAAAGGAAAATAAGTTGTCAGATAAGTGCATGAAAAAATGTGTCACAAGGCATAAGACAGGCTACACACACACACACACCTGGCTCTGAGCTTCCTGGTGGCCACAGTGAAGAAGGAAACTTTGCCACCAGGTCCATGAGATAAAAGCAAGCCAGATGGCCAAGTGAAGCACAGCCTTTCCTGATATGAAGGCCTGGAGATTTTAAATAAATGAATAGTAGTTAAACTAGTACAGTCTGTCTGCTATAACACTTGGTATGAAAACATGAATTTTCAAAGTTCCAACATCAGTTCCAACAAGGTTGATATTTTAGGAAACAGTCTGAGCTTCATACAAGGTTTGTGTTTGCTTCTGGTCGAGTTGTCAGTGAGAACTCTGGGTGAAATGCAGAGAACCACCCCCAGCCGAAGGGAGCCGGGTGGGAATACACAAAACGCACACACGCACACGTGCACACACTCCACCTGCTTAATGCGTTATAACCCTCTTTCTGCCCCTTCACGATACCTGGCAGGCTGCCACCCTCCTGCTGCCCACTTCCACAGTGCACGCAAGTCTTTTCCAAGGTCAAATGCCATATGTAGTAGCACTTACGTAGTGAACCATTGCGTGTGTGATAAAAGGTGCTTCCCTTTTCCTTGGGTTCAGCTCCCCTTTGGCATGTGCCCTGACCTCGGTTCCCCTTTGTTTGCTGCATCACTAACTAAGCTTCTGAGTGTTGTGCCACTAATCCCGTTTCCCCAAAAGCCCTATCGCTTTGATCGCACAGTTTTGCAGTGTGGTGATTTTTAAGAACTTCTATGTCATATTATAGCAGAAATGACCACACACAGCCCTTCCCTGCATGGCCCTTGGATCCAACCAGCACGTTGACAAAGAAGCCCCATCAGTGGTCAGAGGAGCCCCGCCCAGGCCGAGGCTGTGTGGGATTCTGCCGTGGGGATTGCAGCAGATGGAGCTGGGTCTGCTCCGTATTCATCCTCCTTGGAGGTCCCTGCATAGTTCCCTAGGGCTGCTGGGACAGATGACCAAAATCGGGTAGCCGAAACGAGAAACATTTGTTCTCGCACAATTCTGGAGGCCAGAAGTCTGAAATCAAGGCGTCAGCAGGCAGGACTGTCCAGGGGAGAACCCTTCCTGGCCGCCTCCACCTTCCGGGGCTCCAGGCGTTCCTTGGCTTGTAGTTGCATCACTCATTCTCTGCCTCGGTCATCACAGGGACTCCTTATAAGGACAGTGGATTTAGGGCCCACCTGAGTAGAGTCTGACATCATCTCATCTTACATCTGCAAAGACCCTGTTGCCAAATAAGGTCACATTCCGAGGTTCCGGGCAGACGGGGAACTTTGGGAAGACACGACTCACCCAGTCTAGGCACTGACTGGGAGGAAGATGGTCACACTCCCCCTGGCAGCCGTTCACAGGGTCCCACAGTGAGGCTGCCGCTCCGAGGCCCCGGCAGCACCGTCTCCTCCGAAGGGCAGGCAGATCGTCCCCATTCATGGGGAGGTGCCCCAGTTTCCCAGGAGTGAGGTGCAGGCTAGGAGGCCAGAGCCATCAGGCCACAGAGACGTGGCGCCAGGAACAGGGCTCGGCAGGGTAAACCCAGAAAGCTCTCTGATCCTCAGGTCTGGAGGGCGGAGGGCAGCTCCCGAGTTTCTGGGAAACTCAGGCAGCTCCCGGTGGGGCCTCTAGCAGCCTGCTGACCTTTGCTCCTGTAGGAAACCACCCCAGCCCTCTCATCTGGTCACCCACAGAGCAGGCCCTGCAGAGACGCGCTTGCTCGGGCCATCCAGCGGCATCCACGCTTCCGGAGTCTGTTCAACTTCTCCAAGCCAGTGCTGCTGTCTGGGGGCCTCTTCACCCAGGGGCTCTGGGACAGCCTGAGCCAGCGCAAAGCCCCCTATGGCTGGCAGGGGCTCTCCCACCAAGGTAACCAGTCGCCGCCTGTCCCTCACCCTCTGGCCTCAGCTGGTCCCTTCCTCCTGCTCTTGGTCCTGATGCAAGGCAGACCCTGCCCTCAGTCCCTTTGCCCCCAGGAGGGCCTCAGGGCCCAACCCCAACCTGTGCGACTCCTGCATTACTTTCCTGCCCACAGCACCACAGGGTCAGCAAGAGGGGCTTGGCTTCCCTCCCCTCCCGCAGCTCTCACCGTCCTGGGGCACCAAAGGCTAAGGTGCCAGTGTCCCAGGGTGGCTGAGGACAGAGGCGGTGGGGCCTCTAGCAGCCTGCTGACCTTTGCTCCTGTAGGAAACCACCCAGACCCCCTCCCCGTTAATTGTGCGCCTACCTCCCCCTGGCTCAGACTGTTTCCTTCTGAAGAATCCCCAGAGGGCCAGTTATTCAAATTCTTGAGGCATTGTGGGCACAGCCAAACCATCCCCCACAGTTCCCTTTTCCGTTCTCATGGCCCCACTGACATTTCATTCCCCTCCTACCCTCTGTGCTCTTGGGAGGGGCCGGAGTCCCCTGGCCGCCCTCAGCATAACATCCCACCTGTCCCAAACGCATAGACATCGCCTCCACCCTGAGCCTTCTGAATAGCCCGGACAGCGCCCAGCTGTTCAGCCCCAGGGAGCTGCGTAGAGACTGCATCCGGTGCGCTGTGGTGGGCAACGGAGGCATCCTGAATGGGTCCCGCCAGGGTCTGCACATCGATGCCCACGACTATGTGTTCAGGTATGCGGAGCAGGGGCCAGGAGGGGGAAGGAGCTGGTCCCAGCTAGCCCCAGGGAGCGCCTTCCAGGCCACTCCACAGTTGTAATAGGCACACAGGCACGGCCGTACACCCATGCAAGGACATGCCACAGGGACCTGGGAGGAAGGAAACTCCGGGGCCAGAGTGCCGATTTCACAGGGCATCCCTTGAGGTCTGGAGGAGAGGGGATGGGGCTGGCAGCTGGGAGTTGGTGCTGCCATGGCAGAGGGAGTGGTCCGTAGGGGCATGGGGACAGGTGTGCTGGAGCCTGGGGGCGGAAATACACAGCATGGTGGAACCGCCAGGGGGCTGATGGGCCTGTGTTGGGACCAGACTCAATGGTGCTGTGATCAAAGGCTTCGAGGAGGATGTGGGCACCAAGACCTCCTTCTATGGTTTCACTGTGAACACAATGAAGAACTCGCTCATCTCCTACAAGAAACTGGGCTTCACCTCTGTGCCACAAGGACAGGTGAGGCCATTGTTTGCAGAGCCCCTTCATGGGAAGCCACGGGGTCCCCAAGCCCAGTCCAGTGGGTGCAGCTGTGCCAGGATCTTGGGCACAGGAATGGGGTTGTTGAGGAGGAGGGTCTGGGCAAGGATGCCCCAGTTCCAGGCAGTACCGCACAACTCTGGACTGGAGTGTGAAGGGCCAATGTTGACTGAAAGCTTATGGGGTGCCAGCAACTTCCATAGGCTGTGTCAGCCACACTCTGCTGGTGCCCAGCAAACAGCAGTAGGGCCGGGGTTCAAGTCCAGACTCCAACCCTGGAGCTACACACAGGGAAGGGCATTTGCTGAGTGCTTCCTCTGTTCCCAGCACTGGCCCTGCCATTAGAGTAGCCCATTTCCAGATGGCAAAGGTCCAAGGCCACCACCCAGCTAGAAACACCAACAGCTCGGGCCCTCTGGCCACAGACCTGGGGTTGTTTCCAGTCTCACACCTCCCACCAGAATAGCGCGTGTGCCGCCTGAACTCTCCCAGCAGCCTGTGAGGAACGTGCTCAGCCATGGCTGGCGAGGGGCATGGCTACCCCAGCTCCCTGCAGCCACACCCCGCTGCTGTTCCAGCACACTTCTCAAGGTCTGGGTGCCACGTGCAGGGTTCAGGAGACCCCAGGATAGAAGCTTCACAGGGCTGGGTTGGGTTTCTAGAAGCTTCCTCTGAAAAGGAAATTAAGAAGTGTCCTAGCTAAGGATCTATGCACCAAGGCCCCATGGCAGAGCCCCTCTTGGCTCATGGCAGAACAAATGGGGCAGCTTTACTTCTCATGTGGCCACAGTCCCTGTACGAGTGACCGGTTGCTGCCTAACAAAATGCCCTCAAACGGAGTAGCTTTAAACACACGTGTCTGATCGTCCAGTTTCAGTGGGTCAGGAATGTGGAAGCAGCTTAGCAGAAGGGCTCTGGCTCAGGGTCTCTCCAGTGGCTGCAGTCATTGGAAGGCCCTTGTCACAGGCGCCCCTCTAGGGACTACTAGTGTCCTCACGACATGGCAGCTAACTTCACCCAGAGTGAGTGATCCCAGAGGGCAAAGGGGCGAAGTGTCTTTTGCAACCTGGTCTCCAAAGCAGCACACCATCTCTTCCATTGCTCCGCTGTTCATCAGAAAACCTGACTCTGGCCCATATTAAAGGGGATGGCGAGTGAGTTTCACCTCTGGCGGGGAAGGTACCAACGGCTTTAAGAGCATGTACTGAAGCCACCACAGTATGGCAGTTACAGGCACACAAGGGCAATTCATGTCAGGACGGTGGCAGGACTGGGTGGAGGGCTGGCTGTCCCTTCTGAGCAGAAGCTAGACTCAGTGTCTCTGTCGCCCTGACAGGACCTGCGCTATATCTTCATCCCCTCCGACATCCGCGACTATGTGATGCTGAGGTCAGCCATTCTGGGTGTGCCTGTCCACAAGGGCCCGGATGAAGGGGACAGGTGAGCGGCAGGGCAGGGCATGGTAATGCTGTGGCCATCTCCCCTTGCTCCGGAGACCCTCAGGCAGGGAGCTTTGGGGAATGGTGCTTCCTCTCCTACCTCCGGGAAAGCCCAGGGAACCCTCCTGGTCCCCAGGAGCCCTCTTGACCAGATCAGCTGTAGACTCCAGGAGCCGCTTTTCTTCAGAAGCAGGCAGCCCTGGCTTCTCGCCTTCAGGCTGCTGTCCCCAAGACCAGCCTGGCCCCCAGCCGGCAGCATTTGCATGCCTGTCCACAGCTGGGCCTGCTGTCCTGTAGAGTGCATGCAGTCTGGAAAGGAAGGGTTGCCCAGTCTGCATCCACCCTTCCAGGCGGGCACCCTCCCAAGGCTGTGCCCATGAGATGGGAGAGCGGGTGAAGTGGTAACAAAGGGCCCTCTGTCTTGTCTCCCACCTTCCTGGGCAGCAGGCTTCACCGAGTTCTATTGAACCGTGCCCTGGCCCTCAGCCCAACCTCTTCCCGCTGGTGCTGAGACGGTTCCACCTCCTTTAATTGGGTCCTTAGAAATCCGCGCCGCCCCAGGCCACACCAAGAACAGCCCTCCTCTCTGCGTGCTCCCCACCAGCCCCTGGAAGAGCAGCTTCTAAGGGAATCTTTAGGGGTTAACCCCTCCGAGGCCAGGCCAGCACCCGCATGCCCCCGCCGCGCCCCGCCCCCGCCCTGTGATTACCCAGTCGCTCACAATGCTGCAGCTGGTTATGAGGGGGGGCTTTGTGACATGGGCGGGGACTGGGCTCTAGGGGGCGCTGGCTTAGACATCGGGTGCACATAAGCCTCCCCAACACCAATGAGCTCCCCATCCCATACCCCCAATCCGTCCCCCACCCAGTCCCCCTCCCAGTCCCGGACCAACACCAACAACCCTGCCAACCAGCCCTACTCCAGCCCTTCCCCATCCCCCACCCGGGGGTCTTCCTCCCACCCCCTCTCTCACCCTGCCACCCCCACCGCCTCACAGCCCTCATCCCGGACTTCCTCCCTGAACCCCAGCCCTCACACCCAACACGTGCCTCGAGGGTCCCAAACCCCCACTCCACCCACCTCCAAATCTCCCTCCCAATCTGGCCTGAAGCCCGCCTCCCGAAACCCTTCTCAAACTCCTCCCCCTGTGCCCCCCGCTAAGTCCCCGTCCCACAGCCCCGCCACCTCGGCCTCCTATATCGGGGCCATTCCGGCCATTCCGGCCTACATCGCCCCCTACGTGCCCCGCTTCCTGAAGGAGCCCCCCTTCTTCCAGCCCCCCACATCTCCACTGCCCCAGTGCACGCCGGCCCTTCAGTACGAGCGGCCCCGGTCCCCCGAGCGCCCCCAGACCCCCCAGTCCTTCTACTTCCCTCTCCTCCCGCCCCCGCCCCACTACCCCAACACCAGCTGCTCCTACAGGACGCCCCCCGCCCTGTTCACGCCGCCGTCCTCGCTGTCCTACGTGCCGCCCACGGACGTGCTGGTGGGCGGGAAGCCGCCCGTGGTGCCCACGGTGCTGCCGGCCACCTTCTACACCCCCTTCTCCCGCTACTACACGCAGCCGCGCTTCTACTACCGCTCCCCGCCCCGCCGCCGCAGCGGCTACCCGCTCTCCGCGCAGGATGAGGGCATGGGCCGCTCTGTCCGCTTCTTCTCCAAATAGGCCTCACACCTATTTTGGACCAGAAGCCTCTGCCAGTAAATTCAAGCTACTCCATCCAGACTTCATCAGCTACCTGACGGAGAGGTAGGTGTGGGGGCGGGGTGCAGGGAAGCGCAACCCCCCCCCCCCCCCGCACTGCAGGCCTTCCCTGGGGCCAAGCCCTTGTGGTCTAGTTATCACTCGGTATCTCAAGGAGGTGGGGGGTGTCAGGAGAGGCAGGGGTTATCTACCAGGGAGGTTCGTGAAGGCACGGGCCGGGTCATGGGGCTAGAAGCAGAGTTGCCAGCATCTTCAGGCCCAAACACAGCCAGCCCGAGGCAAGCACAGGGAGGAGCCGGGCCGCAGCAGCCTGGTGTGGCTCCCTGCTGCCCCCGCCAGTGGCTCTCAATGGCAGGGAGGGGGTCACTGGTCCATCTGGAGCCATTTTGGTGGTCACTAGGGAGTGCAAGTACCACTGGTAGGTAGAAGCCAGGGCTGCTGAACATCCGCTAATGCACAGGACGCCCTGCCGCCAAGAATTACCCGGCGCTCTAAGGTGTCGATAGTGCGGCAGTTGGGAGAGTAACCCTGCTGGAGCCGAGGCCAGCATCCCGAGAGCAGGTGAGGGGTGCGAGTGGATCTGGGCCGATGGGAACCCAGCAGTCACAGCCTCGTGCCACAAGAGACAGGCTGGGAGGCCAGGTTTGCCTGAAGAAGCTTGGATGTGAATCCAGGGCTGAGACCAGGGCCTGTGGTCATCTCACCAGCGACTCCAGTCACAGGACCTGTGCCCTGTCCTTCACGTGGTTACTGTTTGGTCAGAAGTCTGGGGATAGAGAGAAACTCAGGTTTCAGACTAAATGCAGACCCCGTGCCCTAGGCGTTGGGGTTCCTTACTAGCCTGGGGTGAGGGCAAGAAGCTGCAGAAGTTCCGCTGGATTCAGGCTTCTAGAGAAAGCAGGATCTTACCTGTGGTTCCCCTGGATGGGCCCACTCCTCTTCCTCAACCCCACTCGCCACCTAAGGTATTATTTCAACTGAAGATTGTTGTATTTAGGAGCTCATTTGCTTTTTTCCCAAATCGAGAATTGATGGGGGCAGAAGGGCCAGAAACTTCCCGACCATTTAAATTGGCCATTGCAAAGCGTAATGGCACAACCGTCAAGCTAGTGTGCAAGACCTACACGTCTGAGTTTTGATGCCTTTTTGCTTCTAGGTTTTTGAAATCAAAGCTGATTGACACAAATTTTAGAGATCTGTATATGCCTAGTACTGGGGCCCTCATGCTGCTGACAGCTTTACATACCTGTGACCAGGTAAGAGGTCTCTTGCAGGAATCCACAACAGCCAAGTAAGGTGTGAATGGAACCCAATTTGATCCATGAGATCCCTACCTGAGGCCTGTCGCCCCCAGACCTGCCTGGGCCTCTGTCCCAGGGGGAAGGATCCCCCACTGCAGGGGGGACCTGTCTAGGGAAGGAGCCAGAGGGTCCTGTATAGGTCAGCCCCCAGTCAGCCCTTCCTCCAGCTGCCACACTTCCTTCCACTCCCTTGTCCCCGGGGCAGCTACTCTTCGTGGCACTTAAGGGGCACATTACCAAATGGCTCTTCTGAAAGCAAAATCTTCTCAACAGCACTAGGGACATCCGTCAATGAGAACATTCTGGAATTGGGGTCGGCAGCAGGGTCAGTCTTCCACACGCGATCTCTGGTCACCATAAGAGATGTTGCCGGAAGTCGCCCACCTGGGCCACAGGGAAAGGCCGAGGAGCGGTTTTCAAGGCGTGAGCCACGCCCAGGCCAGCCGCTCCACGACTCTGTCCTGCACGTTTCCCTCCTGGGAAGCAGGAGTCTCGCGTGCAGCACTAGCCGAACGGGTAACTGGTCGCAGTGGCATTTTGCCTCCGTCTCGAGCTTCATGATGATCACGGCTCTAGTTGCAGACTTGGGTTCAAAACTCAGCCTGGCCACTCACTAGCTTGCAACTGGGGACACATTTTGTGACCTCCGAGCCTGTCCCTCGGTTTATAGAATGGGGACAATACCTAGGTAAGATAGTTGTACGGCTGGTGTGAAAACGTGTACAGAGAGCACAGTGCTCGATGTTCGTGAGCTGCAACTATTATTCACCTTCACACAAGCACGGGGCGGGGGCCCTTCTGAACTCACATCACTGTACACGAGCCTGCACAGGGTAGCCTGATAAATGCTGACTCAGTGATGATCTCTGCCCAGGTTAGTGCCTATGGATTCATCACAAGCAACTACTGGAAATTTTCTGACCACTACTTCGAACGAGTTAAGAAGCCACTGATATTCTACGCAAACCACGATCTGTCCCTGGAAGCAGCCCTGTGGAGGGACCTGCACACGGCCAGCATCCTTCAGCTGTACCAGCGCTGACCCTCAGCACCAAGCCCTTTGTTCTCACCGAGCCGAAGCCGCCTATCTTCACGAGAGGGGCTCCAGCTCCCCTACATCCACTCCTTCTGCATAGATATCAAGAGGTGGATTTGTGACTGACACTGACGCCGGTTCATTGTGGAACACCCGAACTTGTCCTTGGCTTATCCAAGAAAACTCTGGGTCTGAGACACACTCCAACGTGGGTAAGGGAAAATTGACTGCTCTGCTGGATTTAAGACGGAAGACAAAGAACACTCCCGAGATGTGATTATCACCCTCACCAGCAAGGGGCAGGCATCCTTCAGAGCCAGCCTCAAAGCCAGCAGGTGGTACTGAGCAACTTTAGGAAGTGATCCAACATTGGGGGCAGTTGCACCCTCCCTGCCAAAACCCTCCCATTAGCATGCACAGCCCCACACTAACTCCAGCTGTTTCAACTCAAGGACCCATCTTAACCTTTCTGAGAACATGACCAATGTACACCTGCCCCATGGTCAAGTGGGAGTACAAAAGGCAGAATATAATCTGAAATCAGATCATGGCATAAATGATGGATAACCATTTTCTGTGTGTGTGTTGATTGGGGGTAGTGGTACACCATGCAGGGATGAGATTTCAAGAACCACGAGAGCCTGGCCGGTGTGGCTCAGTGGTTGAGCGTCGACCCATGCACCAAGAGGTCGCTGGTTCGATTCCCAGTCAGGACACATGCCCAGGTTGTGGGCTTGATCCCCACTAGGGGGTGTGCAGGAGGCAGCCAGTCAATGAATATTCTCTCATTGATGTTTCTCTCTCTCTCCCTCTTCCTTCCTCTCTAAAATCAATAAAGGGGAAAAAAAAAAAAAACCACAAGAAGGTTCTGGTGTTTGATGGGGACCATGTGCACAGAAGGCTGCCTGTCTCTGAGGGGATTCCCTTTACATACACTGCCACCTTGTCACCAAAAGGATGACGTTAGGCAATAAACCCTCATTATCAGGTACTGAACATCATAGCTTCAACAACTTGAAAACTGATAGGCAGTTTTATTTTAGACATAAGGGCTTCTATTGGAAGCCAAGCCATCACCACACAGCCCTTAAGCAAGCCCTGGGACTTCCTGATGACTAGGTAGCTTTCAAGAGTCTGATGTCAGCTCTGGCCGGTTGCTCAATGGTTAGAGCATCAGCCTGCAGTCCACAGAGACCCGGATTCGGTTCCCACTAAGGGCACGTACCTTGGTTGCAGTTTGTCCCCAGCCCTGGTTGGGTCATGCAGGTAGCAACCACTTGATGTGTCCCTTTCACGTGGATATTTCTCTCTCTTCCTTTCTCCCTCCCACTCTATCTGAACAAAAATTGGAAAAATGTCCTTGGGTGAGGATAAAAAAAAAAAAGTAAGTCCGATGTCTACACTGCACAGGGCAGGGGGATGGGGAGAAGGGTTGTGTCTCCACAGGGCAGCTGGCAGCTTTCCCCAAGGTGGCATCAGTCACCACTGCCTCAATTCCCCAAGGCTCAGGACCCGGCCTCTGGTTCTGGAAGGCTGATCCTGTCAACATGTAAGAGATGGAACCCATCACCAAAATCAAAATGCTGCCACTTCAGAAACCCAGAGATGTGATAAGCAGAAGGGGCGTTTGGGGCTTTAATGGTGGAAGCAGCCACCCGAGGAAGCCAGAGCTTCCTGCTGCCTGGACCCCTCTTATCCGTAACACCTTCCCCTCTTCCCACACCTGTAGTTATCAGAACCATTTTCAATCCAATAGATTTGAGAAGTGCTAGTTATATTTGTTGGTAGCAACCCCTTAAAAGGGTATTAAATCTATTTAATAGCAAACTTAAAAAAAAATCTGATTACATCCTGCACACTGTTAACCCCAATGATTATTCTATGAAACTTTCATTTATATAAGATGTTTATTGAGTTAGATATTGTTCTTACATAGGTCTCAATATGAAATCCACAATTCCAGTCATTTGAAAATATTTTTATACTTCAAAATTTAAGCCTAAGACATACTCATACTCATACTGCCCTAAGAATTCCAGAGACATGTTCATTCTAGGCCGAGCACCTGTTTCCCACAAGAGCATATACATGATTACCTTCCCAGTCACTGCGGTCCCAATACACAAGTAATACAGTCGGCCCTTGTTTACCACGGTTAATCAGCTCCAGACTCTACTGCAATAAATGAATTTCCGCAAAGCAGGTTTATTTATAAATAGAATATTTTCAGAGCACAGAAAACCTGTTTACAACCTTCTAAATGTTTAACATTAGAACCCTCTAGTCGTGAAATAACACCCTTTAGTCACCATTACACTCGTACTACCCAATATATTAGACAAAAGACATTAGACATTACAAATATATTATCATACATTTAGTTACACACACACAGTTCTTACACACAACCACTAACCTATCAAAATAGTGCAACTTGTTCAACAATGAAGCGATGAAGAGATGTACTGCACAGTGAAGAGCAAGGTTACTGCTCCTCTGAAGGCACGACCTCAGCAGGAGAGTCTTCAGGTGGCGCAGTATCTTCAGCAGGTGCATCATCTCCCGCTGAAGCACTAGGAGGCGGCAGTGGGAGTCTGGGTGCGCAGCTGAAGAACATCGTGATAGGCAGTTGCTGGCGCTGTCTTTTCATACGTGTGAGGAGGATTTTGTAGGGTTCTATCGCTCCATCAAGTGCATTCCGGAACCGCAATGCACGCATCATTTGTGGGTCCCATTCGTCAATCAAGTCCTGTACTATCTCAATAGTTCTCACGACTTGCGAGAGACGCTCAAGTGTAAGGCCAGCTTCCTCCTCCTGACCCCCAGGAACCTCTGGCTGCTCTTCCTCCTTAATGCCACGGACCTTGGCCTCATCCTTGAAAATGAATGTCCAGGAAGGTATTCTTTTCCAGAACAGCCCTGTTTCGTCCATACCGAACACCTGTTCTGGATGATACTGGCCCCCCTCAAGGATCTTCTGGAACGTGTTGTTCACATAGGCCCCTGCTGCAGGCTGGTCAGCAGAGGCAGCTTCTCCACGGAGAACGACACTCTTCAGATACCTCTTCTGGAACTTCTCGTACCAACCCTTGCTCGCCGTGAAATCCATGAACGTTGCAGAAGAGGGTCCTGGTTGAGGTTCGTCTGCCTTAAAGCGCTGATAGAGCTGCCTCGCCTTCTCCCGGATGACCAGCGAATCCAACGGAATGTTTCTCTTGCGGCTGTCACTGATCCAAACGGCTAGGGCAGACTCCGTTTTCACTATGAACTTATTACGATTTGTCACTACGCGCTTTGCTTCCTTGTTGAAAGAGACAGTGGCTGTTGCACGGATGTTCTTTTCATCCTTACGGATGGAGCGAACAGTAGACTCATTCAAGTTGTAATGGCGGGCAACTTCCACGATTCTCTTGCCATCTTTGATCATATCCAAGAGTTTCACCTTCTCCCGGATGGTAAGCATCTTCCTTCGGCGCTTAGTTTCGTTGTCAGAAGGCTTAGCAGAAGCAGCACGTTTAGGAGCCATCATGGGGCTTAGATCAAAGTTCTCAGAAATCGCATTTATAAGAGCAAAGATGCTTCTGACATGTAGCGATGTAGAAGCGTGTATGAGAGAAAGGAACTTGCATGAGGCTGAGCCAATCAGTGGCCAGGATAGGAAGAGGGTAGGATAGCCAATCAGTGAACAGCACGCTCTGATTGGCTTGGTTTCACCACACCTGCTTTCTTGGGAAAAAGTTATTGCCCACACACAAGGAGTGGTCAAACGGTTGCACCTGGCGTTGAAGGATTTGCAGGGGTGCTCGAATACACAGACCTACAGTCCATTCGTACAGTAATTTTAATTTTAATACAAGGATGTATAATCAACTCAGACAACCGAGTGCACACTGTATCATTTTCACTGTCTCAATCAACTTTTTAATTAATATATTCGAAAAAACCATGATAGAGTGAAGCCACGAAAGTCGAAGCACAAGTGGCGAGGGAGGACTGTACCCAGATCACCTCAGCTGTGGTTCTTAGTTACCCTGATTTCTCTAACTGCCCAAGTTTTTCTGGGATAAACTCATTGTCACTTGAATTATTTGGCCACTTATGACGATGAAGTCCAATGAACTCTGAAATGATTCTCCCCTGGGGGGAATACTTTATAGGCATTAGCAATTAGCAACAGAGGCTGTGCTGATCCCATCGGCACCAATGGGAGATCACCTGTAAAACCAAAGAAGAATCATTTGACTTTAACAGCCAACAAAGTGACTCAAACCGAAGGTTAAATATAAAGAATTAGCTAATTTAGAGAAAGGGCAACCCTAGAGGCATGCATTCGAACGCAGCACCCCTATGCGCATGTCTCTGTACCGCAGGCCAGGCCGACCTCCAACCGCTGAGCCAAACTGGCCAGGGCCCTATGCGCATGTCGAGGCTATGACAGGTGCTATCAGTTCCAGGAGGCTGGTAAGGCTCCTAGATGACTGGGTAGCTTGTTTTCAGGAGAGAGTGTTGAGGGCAGGGGGCGGTGGCGCAGTGTTTAGGCAGGGGCCAGTGAGACCAACAATAAAGCAAGCACTGAGGACATCTGTATTCCCACCACTCTGAAACTTTGATGGATTTCCCCACTTGCTAACACGCCCTTTCACTTTGTTGGGCTGTAACCGGCTGGGGCCAGTTTTAAGCTCACTGAATCTCGCCCAAATATAGCTTCCTTGGCGATGGAACAAACGCGTGACCTCGAATATAAAGAGCCCATACACACTCCTAATTGCAATCTCTGCCCACTTCAAGCCTGGCATTTAAATGGGAAGAAAGCCAGATACCCACCCTGTCCAGAACCACTCTGCTACCTTCTTGCCCACATGCCAGGCAACTCAGCCCTCTGCTGCCCAAGGAGCGGCCCCACGCCAGCCATGCCATTTGGACAAGATCTGAGCCAACCTCAGGAAAACCCCTCCAGTGTTAACAAAGCACCCGGAAACCAAAAGGCTGCTAGTCCCTCAGGACGCCCTTTCCCGAAGGCCAGGCAGCCCCGAAGTGTTCCCACCGCCACAGCGGCAGACACCTTACATTCTGTCTGCTTCCGAGAGCACATTCACCTCCTTGAAGTATGTGACAAGCACTCTCATTCCACAGTAACAGCCCAAACCAAATCCGGGCCACTTGCCATTTCTGCCACTTCTTATAGCCTGTACCCTCAGAGACATTAATCAAGGGGACTGAAGTGTGACAGGGCAGCCACACACTGGTTTCAAGTTGCAGAGGGATGATGCACCCGCCTGGGGTCTCGCGGGGTACCCAGGGCGCCCTTTGGAGTTCATTCAACTTGATCCCTTATAAAGCCTGAATTTCTTTAAGAGCACAGGGCCAAACCACCCTTAAGCCTCAGAACAGATTGTTTTCCCTCAGTCGAGATTTTCAGACAGGGATAACGAACCATCACAGGCTTGTGGGGCTTCTTAGGGACATAAAAAATGGAAACAGAACACTTACAAACGACAGGAGAGGAATCATTTCACTTGCCTCAGGCAAAGCTGTTCAGTTCTGTGCCTCACACTGCAACATCTAACAAAGAAAACCTGTGTTAGTCTCCCTGCCACTTAGTACAATCCTAAGTCCAGGGCAGGGAAACAAAACAAACACTCCGCACAAGCCTGTTCAGAAAGTCTTGTTATATATGTGACAAAAATCCCACTTCAGATCCAGGGCAGCTGACACGGTGCTACTTACTGCTGCCTGGTGTCTTCTTCTGGACGGTCCTTTTCAGCCTCAGAAACCAAGGCCGTGACTGTCCCTGGCAAGGAGAAATTGCAGAAGAAAAGCCTATTCAAGAAGATAAACACAGGTTATCTTTCAACTATCTCCCTCTCCAATCAGGCCTAAATGTTCTGTAAGAAACGTGGGAAGCCGAGTCTCAGACATCCATACTCCACACTGAAAGGCCTTTGTTTGCCTTCAGACAGGGATAACTTCACATCATCATGGACTCAGCCCCACAGCACATGCAACTATTTCTTTCTTACCAAATTCTGCTTTGCTTCCCTTGTGAGAACACTCACTCAGTCGTGTCTACTTTACCAGCATGTACTTTCCCTCAAGGGCAAAAACTGACCATATCTAGTGCTCGATGGCCCAGTGCCCCAGACCTGACACACTGAGAGTTCCTGCCCTCAGCACCATGTGCTCTACAGCTGAGCAGGGTCTATATTCTAGTGTCTTTCTAGTGTCGGCAAAGCGCAGATCACTCCCTTCGGCAGCCTGTTGCAGGCCAGCCACACAGAGGGTACCTAGTACAAAGAGGCAATGACATCACACAAGGTCCCTTCTCTTTCACTCACCACTGCATATAAAACCACCCCGCAGAGCAAACATGTGGCTCTCAGGTTTTTAAGAGAGAGGATTATGGACCTGCCCTAAGAACGATTTAAAAATAGCCAGTACTATAATCTTGCCGTAATAAAACTCCGAGCTAGAAGTAGATCCGATCATCTGATTGTTCCTACATGCCTGCTCCCAAACTGTCACACGTGATGCTTGGGCCCCACTCATCCATGGTTGGAGGTGGGGTCCGAGAATGTGCATTAAAAAAAAAAAATCCTCGCCCTGGCCGGTTTGGCTCAGCGGTTAGAGCGTCAGCCTGCGGTCCGGAGAGACCCGGGTTCGGTTCCCGCTAAGGGCGCGTACTTCGGTTGCAGTTTGTCCCCGGCCCTGGTTGGTCGTGCGGGTGGCAGCCACTCGATGTGTCCCTTCACGTCGATGTTTCTCTCTCTCTCTCCCTTCCTCTCTCTCCCTCCCACTCTATCTGTACAAAAAATGGAAAAATATCCTCGGGTGAGGATTAAAAAAAAAAATTAAAAAAAAAAAAAAAAATCCTCACCTGGCCCTGGCCGGTTTTCTCAGCAGTTAGAGCATCGGCCTGTGGTCCAGAGAGACCCGGGTTCGGTTCCCACTAAAGGCACGTACCTTGGTTGCAGTTTGTCCTGGCCCTGGTTGGGTCATGCAGGTGGCAACCACTTGATGTGTTCCTTTCATGTCGATGTTTCTCTCTCCCACTCTATCTGAACAAAAAATGAAAAAATGTCCTCAGGTGAGGATAAAAAAAATCCTCACCTGAAGATTTTTTTTCTTTCTATTTATCATCAGATAGAGTGGGAGAGAAGGGAGGTGGAGAGTGAGAGAAACATCAATCACCTGGTTGCCTCCCAAATAATCCCCGGCCAGGGCCGAACAGCAACCAAGATACATGCCCTTGACTGGATTCAAACCCTCAACTCATTGGCCTGCCTGGCTCTAACCACTGAGCTAAACCGGCCAGGGCGAGAATGTGCATATTTTAACACTTTGTAGGTGGTTTTGACATATAGCTAGGTCTGAAAAGCACTAACCCTGTTTTACAAATGAATAAATAAGGCTCTGGTGCAGTTTTCTGGTAACTGGCCGAGACTAGAGCCCAGATCACTCAAGTTAATCTAATAGGGTTTCAATCTCAGCTCTACTGACATTTGAGGTGAACAGTTCGTCATGGGAGGTGTCTTGTACACTGTAGGATACTTAGCAGCCCCCACTGGATCCCAATAAAACCCTCTGTCCCCAGACAAACACCATTGGTCTACTCTAATTCTTGAAACAATTACAACAAATACTGTTTGTGAGACTGCTTGGCAAAGAGCCTAGCAAAGAGTTCTTTACTATCTGGGCAATAACAATCCTGAAAGACCCACACATCTCTGAAATCTAGCAAGCAGACCAATACTTAAAGAGACCAGGACCTACGCAAGTCTGAGAAAACTAAAAATCTTACCGTTTATAGGAATTTCATTACGATGACCCTTCCACTCAAAAGCTTAAGGTGATGGTTTTCATGTGACTTTTTTCCAAGTCCACAACCAGCACCTTTACTCTAAAAGAGAAATACGGATAACATACTTTTCATTCTGATAGAAACAACCTTAAGGTTTTTATTCTCAAGACTGGTATTTACAAAGCTGAGCTTCAGCAAGTGAGAACTCTTCACGAAGATGTCCCTTCCGACAGGGATAACTTTAAATCATCCTCAGCTCAACCTGTAACACACATTTCTAAATCCCAGCCAACCAAAACTTACTTTCCAAGGCTTCCTTTCACCCCTGAATGCAATGGTTTCCATTTTGATTTCTAGCAGTGACATCTAGTGGCCCCCAAATTACACTGGCACAGAACCTCCTCATTCCCGGATTCTAGATTCATTCCAACATTTGTTCACAGAACTGAACTTATTCTGAACTTAACTTAATACAATATTAAGCCCACTGTATGTGACAGGCCTTCACACCACCTTGGTTTTCTCACTTTTGGTACCCACCCAGATCCTGCCTGCACCCACCCATTCTTACTCATTTCGGGGCTCCATTCATTACTTTTAAGCTTCAACCTGCAGGTTTGCTTCTATCTCTGCAGATGCTAAAGGCGGGCCTGTGGGGAAGGAAAAAATGATAATGTAAGGTTCGTCGTAAAAATGCAGCCTTCCAAAACCTCTAGTCCCACTGATTACTATCTGTAGAATTACATACAAACGGCTTGAGGCCGTTCTCAAGGCACTTCAAGGGGAAGTCAAGTATTCAGACGTTAACACCCCCGATGTGAATTAGGAACTGCCACCGTCAGGCCGCCTGGGAGGTGGACCCGGGGGACCCTCAGGGCCGCTGAGGCTGCAAGCTCACGCCCACAGGTGGCTGCGCGGCGCCCAGGGGTGTACAGGTCGGGAGGACCTCTCTACCCCAGGAGGGGCCCTTCGACGCCAAGGACGCATTTGAGTTCTCGCCCTTCAATCATAAAAAAATGCGCGCCACTTGGAAAGCGTTTTCTCGTCTCCTATCTTAGCTACTCCTCCCATCCACCCTATAAAGAGGATGAGCGGCTTATCGTCACCATTTCTCTGAAAACGGGGAGGTCAAGTGTGCCAGCGCCCAAGGGAGATGCCGTTTTCCCACCCCCGCAGCCTTACCATTGCCAAAGGCCTGAGACTGCTCGCCGAGCGACCCCCAGACTGCAGGAGCCATGACTTCCAGCCATGCGGCCGGTCTCGCAGAGAAGGTGGGGTTGCGCCTGCGCGCAAGTCTTCGCGGCAGTCTCGCTGCAACTCTCGCGATGTTGAGAAGAGGCTGATGGGAAACGTAGTCTAAACGACAGCCGCTGCGGGTAAATCGCATTTTCGGCGCGACTGTGGAGCCGGGGTAAGACGGTGGCCACCAGCAGGGGCAGTGGAGGGCCCGGGGCGGGAGGCCTGACCTGTGAAGAGCCAAGGCCGTTAGAAAACGAAGATGGACGGTCGCTGTAGCTACCGAGTGCACAGCTTGTCCCTGGCCGAGGCCGGGAGGGCCTGGGGAGGTGGGGGGCTCAGAAAGTTGGAGGGGCCTCACGGGACCCGGGAGGAAACTGAGGCACGGCTGGATCTCTTCCCGATTGCTCTGTGGATTGCATTTGGGGCGGGGAGGGGTCATCTGGGGGGTCGGTTGCTTTAGTGAAGGCGCGGGAGATTCCCGGAGAAATGTTGGACGTCCCGCGCTGCTGCTTTTCAAGTTGGGGCGAGAGCAGTGAGGCCCGGGCGGCAGAGGGCGCCCGAGAGCGAGGGGCCGGGGCTGCGCCAACCCCCCCTGAACCCGGGTCCCGCTGCCAGTGTGCGGACTTGAATGCCGAGAAGGAAAAAGAATCACATTTTGGAAGAAGAGCAGAGCATAATGTAACGCCCACTGGCCCTCCTGAATGTTATTTTTCAGGCGACCACTCTGGCTTCATTTTGGAAACAATAGGGCGAAACAACTAGAGCCGGGGCCAGGAGGTCCACCCCACTGGAAATCAGGCTCAGTTTGCAGGGCCAGGAAGCCTTTCCTGCATCGCTCTCTCCCCCTTCTCCGCAAGGCGTTAGCAATGCTCTGGGTGGTATTTTGTCTGGATTGTTCTGTAGACGGTAATGCGTTGCAGGTGCTTCTTTTCAAGTTACCATATTGGTCTATATTTGACTCCCTTAATTTGACTGGGAGCCCTTCGAGGCAGGAGACGTCTCTTTTAATTATTTTTTTCTTTTTAGTTTCCTCCCAGTGCCTACTTGATATTCCACTGCCTCTGCTCCCAGTAAGTACTCAACAAATAATCATTAACTCAGCGATAACTTCTAACTTGTGAACTTGGTCGTTAAGTTTCTCTGTCTTTCCCTTTAAGACATTATTTTGTATCACACAGAGAGGAAGAATGGGTTCTTTCCCTGCAAATTAAGCCCTTTTAAGTGTGGGATGTGCCCAATGCCCTTGTGAAACTACAGTGGTAGGCATGTAACCGGCTGCAGGCAAAACGATGATGATAGCTGGTGTTCGCAGCGTTTGCCAGGCGCCATCCACTACCGAGTGCTGAATCCTCGCCACGGCACTGTGACGCGCTGGCACCAGCCCCACTTCACAGACAAGGGGATGGAGTCGGGGTTAGATCTCAGCCTGCAAAGTCTGTGTTTTTACCACGAAGTTGTACTGCACCATCAATACATATAAACTGATCTTCTATGTAAGGGGTTTGGGTTTGGGGAACGTGGAAAGGGGAAGGAAGGAGATTTTCGTGTGTTTGCAACCGTGGTCAGGGATGACATTAGAGATGAGATTGAAAGGGGGGAGGATGGGTACCTGTCTTCGTGTTTTGAGCCACTTTATGGTGGGAATAGTGAGGATGAGCGGCCGCTGGAGCTGCTCCATGAACACCCGTAAAGCTCTGGGCTCTGCCAGGGCTGTCGTGGGTCCCAGATTAGTTGCCAGTGTGCAGTGAGGGCCATTATTCACAGCTCAAGAAGGGCCACTGTGTAGCTTTCACGCCTGACAGGCCACTTGGTGGGACAGCAGCAGGCTCACGGCCAGTGGAGGTGTCGCAGGCTGCTGGGCAGTGGCCAAGAGGCCGGAGCAAAGTGCAATGAGAGGCCTTGTGCCTGAGCCCCTGTTGGGTACATGACAGACAAGCCAGAAGTGACTGGGGGAGGCTTCAAAGAATGCATCAGGGTTCCTGAATGAGCAAGCGAGGGCTCAGGGCTGAGACCAACGTCACTGTTGCTGCGATCTCATTTGCACTCAGCTGCTGGTGAGGTCTGGGACACTGCAGTTTACACCTGGTGGGATTATTACCTGGCTGTTATTCAGCTTAGTGCAGGTCTATATTTATGGACATGGAAAGAGCCACACAGTTTGGTGACAGAAGTAGAACACAGGGCAGGAGTCCTCAGTACTGTGCAGGGACCCAGCTCCGAATGCAAAGGAAAAGTCTAGGTAGCTGGCCTGCTGTGTTCAGGTGGTCAACTCATTGAGTTCACCTTCACTGACAGGATTTAAGATATGGTATCTGAAACTTACAGAAATAGCAGAGTCTTTGGCATGTTGAGGTTAATGTCTTAACCTGGAAAGGAATCTTTAATTTTTTAAATAAGAACATGAAGGAGGGTAGGTATATCCTAAGTGGTTGACTGCTTCCATCGGGGACAGTCACATCAGTGACATCTGTGTGGCAGTTATGGTTAGTTGACAGCCCCGTAGCTGTTCTCTCTCCATCTCACAACTGAACACACTCTTTTAGGATTGTACATGTGAAGCACCTAGCATGGGCCGGGCACAAGGGAAGCACGCAATAAATAGAACTCCTGTTAGCTGAACATACTTCTTTTAATATTCACTCTTTTACGATTATTTGTTTTCATGTCTGACTTTTCCTCTACACTGTGAGCATGACAAAGATCAGGTCTTCATTCTTGTGCTGTTTCTTTCTTTTTTAAAAAATGTTTTTATCTATTTATTTTTTAGAGAGAGAGAAAAGGAGAGAGATAGAAACATCCATGTGAGAAACATTGATCAGCTGCCTCTTGCACACCCCACTGGGGATCGAGCCCGCAACCTGAGTATGTACCCTGGCTGGGAATCGAACTAGGACCTCTCAGTTCATGAGATGATGCTCAGTCCACTGAGCCACACCGGCCAGGCTTGTGTTGTTTCTCTTTAACCCTTTACGTCATCTTTATTGAGGTATCATTTATTTTTTTATCCTCATCTGAGGACATTTTTGCATTTATTTTCAGATAGAGCGGGAGGGAGAGAGGGAGGAAGAGAGAAAGAGAGGGAAACATCAACATGAAAGAGACACATCAAGTGGCCGCCACCCACACAACCCGAACCAGCGCCAGGGACAAACCAACCGAGGTACGTGCCCTTAGCGGGAACCGAACCCAGGACTCTCTGGTCCACAGGCTGACACTCTAACCTCTAAGCCAAACTGGCCAGGGCAAGGTATCATTTATATAGTATAGTGCGTCTATTTAAAATGTACAGTTTAATAGTCCAATAAATGTATACAGCCATGTAACCACAACCCCAATCACGATTTAGGACATCATCAGTCCAGAGAGCACCTTCGTATCATTTTGCAGCCAGTCTCCGTATCTAGGCAACCACTGATCTGCTTTCCGTCACTATAGATTAATTTGGCCTGCTCTAGAATTTTATATAAACGATTCATACAGTGGGTGTACTTTTATGTCTGGCTTCTCTCAATTATCCACGTTATGGCTTACATCAGTAGTTCATTTTCTTTGCATTGCTGACTATTATTCCATTATATGAACGTACCACAGTTTTTTATCTACTCAAGTGTTGGTGCATATTTGGGTTATTTCCCATTTGGAGGTACTATTAATAAAGCTACTGTGAACATTTTTGTACAAATCCTTTTGTGAACATGAATTTTCATTTCTCACAGATAAATTCACAGGAAACCACTAAACTGGTTTGTTTCTCAAGCAGATGTACGTTCCCCCAGCAACATATTACAGGGTTACAGTTGCCCCACCCTCACCAGCACCTGTTACGGTCCGTCTTTCATTTTTAGCATTCCGATGGGTGTGTAGCAGTATCTTGAGATTTTGATTTGCATTTCTCTGATGACTTACCACGTCAAGCATCTTTCTGTTTATTGGCCATATGTATACTTTTTTTGTGAATGGTCTATTAAAACCCTTCCCCTTTTCATGGCCTTTTTGATATTAAGTTGTAAAAGTTCTTTGTATATTTTGGACACAGGTATATTTCTCAGATGTTTGCTCGGCAAAAATTTTCTCCCAGTCTTTCCAAGAATTTTGATAAACTCCAATTAATCCGTTTTTCTGTTATGGTTAGTGTTTTTGTAGCATGCTGAGAGGACTTTCCTTTCTCCATTGAATCACCTTCGTTGCATCTGACTTTGGATCCCATTGATCTGTGTGTATATCCTTAGGAACACCACCCTGTCTGAGCTCTGATCTTGTCTCCTCTCACTGGGGAGACCTGTGGTCTGCTTGGCTCCCCGCCTCCAGCCTCAGGCAGACACGAGGCAGCCAGGGGGTCACCTTCCTGCGTGCTGCCTGCTGTCAAGTGTCTGTTTCTTATGTTTTGCCCAGTATTTTGCTTGTTTGTGGAGGGAAGTCTTCACTCATCATGTATCCACAGTAGCTGGCACACAGGCAGTCCAAACTGTTTGCTGAGCAGGCGAGTCTGTGAGCACCTCCAGACAGGATCCAGTGTAGTCTCTTTTGATTGGGAGGATCTAGGGGTCCCCAGAGGTCCATCCCCTTCATTTTACTAAACAGTACTTGTCCTGAAGATGGTCATTAGTCCTTTATGTCCTCAGCACGAGCCCACCTGGGTTCAACACATGCTTGTTAAATGGGGAAATTGAGGTCCAGGGAAGGAAAGGTCATGTGACCAGGCAGCTGCTGAGTGGGTACAATTGGGCTTCTTATGTAGGGATCTGTCTCCTGGACACACTGGAAGGCAGGCCCTGCCTCCTTCATCATTGGGTCACTCCCAGCACCCCACAATGTGCACCGTAGGCTCCTAATACATACTTGTTCAACAAATGACCAGTGGAGTAAATTAAATCATTGTTATTGGTTTGTTCTTTTTTAATTAATTTATTTTAGTTACAGATGTTTCTCCTTTTTCCCCCATTGATACCCTCCTCCCTGCTCCTGTCTCCCACCCCCTTCATAGTATTGTTGTCTGTGTCCTCTGGTTGTGCATATATGCATATATGTTCTTTGGTTTATCCCTTCCCACCCCAAACCCTCCTCTGAGGTTTGTCAGTCTGATCCCTACTTCCATGTCTCTGTATCTGTTTTGTTCATCAGCTTTAAATCATTGTTTTTAATGCTTAGATCAAGTGGCTCCTACATGTGGTATTGTGTGTGTGTGTGTGTGTGTGTGTGTGTGTGTTTTCACATAGAGACTGACCGTTCCTATGCAGGCTCGTGGGTCATAGTCCCTCAGTAAATCTTTAAAATTTTCTCAGCCGTCCTCTAGTCTTACTCCCCACTAGGGGGCGTGTGTGTCCCACAGAGAGGGGCTGCAGTCAAGGGCAAGGACTTGTCTGCAGCCTCAGTCTGTGGGTCCCTCTGAAGCTGCCTCCTTGATCCCCGTGCTCTGTGCCCTCCCCCTGCAAACTCACAACAAAACCTCTCTCCTCAAGCTCCCAGGGCCAAGGAGGCAACAGAGCGGCAGTGGCTGAGTGATGACCTGGGTCTGTTATGCCCTGGCCATCTCTTCCTCCCTGAGGGCATGGCAATCCTGGAGGCCGGTGAGGACTGGTCCTTCCTGCACTCTGCCCTTGAACGAAAAGTTCCTGAAGAGCGAGCCATGGGAATAACCCTGGCAAACCCTGCCCGCTCACTCCTGTGCCCTGGTAGACAGGTCACACCCGACTCTAGACTCAGGTTCTTTGTGTCTCAACAGCTTCACTAGTTTCGGCGTCAGGTTGCCCAGTGCAGGTCCTGGCTTCACCACTAGCTGTGCGTGACCTGTTCAAATTCTGTGAACTTCACTTTCCTTACTGGATAAATGAGGAAGACAACGGTCCCTGCCTCCTAAAGCCCTTGGCACAGTGCCTAGCACGTGTTTGAGACATGTTAATTAATAAATAATTACTAATATAGTAGCATCATGATCATCATATTCACATCAACCACAGTGTAAGCCCCTTGGCCATTCCCCTTTGAGGCTCCCAAGGCAGCATCGGTCTCCTCCAGCTCAAGGTCTCGGGCTTCCTCCCCACGGTGAGGCCCTTGCAGAGAGGCTGGGGAGCCTCTGGGACCCGTGGGGCTCTCGTGCCACTGTACCTGCCTCAGAGCAGGCGCGTGCCCACCTCATCTTGGACCAGACCCTCCTCCAGGACCATCCTGCCCACTCTCACATAAGCACACGTTTGGGATAGGCAGGCACTCCCCTGGCATCTGCACCCTGGGGCGACAGGACAGCAAGAGCTGCTACAGCTGCTTTCCCCCCCACACCCCCCACCCCCCGCATCAGCTCTCTGGGCATGTTCCAGTCTCCCGGAGAGACTGGCGGCAACCCTGAGTCTCGGCCACAGCAGTAGCAGACGGCAGCACCTGCCTGGTCCGGGCTGCCGCCCTCGGCCAGCCGGCACTCGGAGCAGCCTCGCCCTGCCACTCGGGCTCCCCCAGCAGAGCTTAGCACTCACACGGGGCATGGGAGGCCGCGGGGGGCAGCCTCCTCCTGTCTTCTCTGGGAGCTGACGTTCACTCCGGGAGGCGCCCAGGCCAAGACCCCCGCTGGAGGTCGGCACAGGGTTCTGGGCCGACAGAGGCCACCCTGGTGCTCTCATACTGTCTCTGGGTGCTGGGTCTTCCTGGGTGCCCCCCAGCAGTTGCCCTCCACTGTCCTCTATTTTGCTTCAGAATTCCCCTCCGCCTGGCCATTGTGGGTAAGGACAGACAGGGCAGGAGGGGCACGGGGCACGGGGCTGAGCAACTCGAGCTGTTAGGGGCCTGCGGATTTTGTTCTGAAATTAATTGTTCAGCAATTGACAGTGCACAACCACACTAGGTCACACATGTCGAACACTTAGCATGCTAAACACTTTACACGCATTATCGGATCTAACCTGCACAGCCACTCCGCGAGGGACCAGCAGTGACCCTGCCTCTTCTCAGCTGTCTCTCCACCTGCCCCCCTCTCCTGCGGCCAGTCCACCAAGCTCCTGGACCTTCCTGCTTTCATTCCCAGCCGTGCTTTGTCCAAGGAAATGGGAAGGGAAGAGGACTCGGACTCTTGAGGACATTGGGTCCACCCCCGCCACAGGCTTCACATCAGCCCCTGTGTGGGAGACAGTGGTCCCAGGCAGCCTCCTGCAGAGGAGCCCGAGGCTGCAGCCAGTTGCTGTGCGGATTGTGCAGACACCCGGGGCTGGGGGCCCAGCAATCAGAGGCGAGCGTGGGCCGGTGTGGGGGAAAGGCGTAAACAGTCTGCTCCCACTACAGCAGCCTGCGCCCTGGGGGAGAGAGCCCCTCCCTGCTGCCAGGACGCACAGCCTCCCAGCCGGCAGACACAGCCCGCTGCCCCCAGCCCCTTCCCTGCCTCCCTCCCTCCATCCAGATGGACCCCTGGAGGAGCCAGCGCCTGAGCAGGTTCTCCGAGCAGTGCTGCAGAGGGGTGTCTGGAGGTTGGGCTGGGAGCCAGCCGGGTGCAGCTAGCTGACCTTGGCCTGACAGTCCCTCAGCCCAGTGGAAGGAGGCAGGGAAGCTGGAAGGCGAGCAGGCAAGGATGAAGTGACAGGAGCGTGGCAAACAGATCAGGGAACGCATGCAGAGATAGGATCAGGGAGCACAGACGTCTGGGAACAGTGCCCTCTGGCTCAGCCTGACAGTCCTGTCACCGGGAAGGCGATGCCCGGGAGAAAGACAACCGACAGGAGCCGAGACAGGTGGCTTGAACTCACGGCCCCTGTCAAGTGGGCAATGGGGCTCTGACGTGGTCCCAGCTCAGAGCTCCTTCCCCTGGTGTGACTCCTCCCCTGCCTCCACCTGCCCTACTTTGGAGGCTCCCACAGAACTGCCAGGCTCCCTACAGGACAGGCAGCCCCTCCCCCGTGGCTGCAGAGTGGTCCCCTAAGGCTCTGCCCCTCTCCTTCCTCCCCTTCTGATGTGAGGTGCTGCTGTCCGGAGAGCTCCTCCATCTCCTGCTTCTGGGTGGACAGTTGGGGCTGGGTGGGGAGGAGATGCGCGTCCTGGGGTGGGGCCTTGGAAGATGAATGACTGCGAGACAGTCGGGAGCAGCTGCCTGCAGGGTCTGCGCCTGGATCTCGGGGAGCAGAGCGGAAATCTGCCTTAATCTCTGCTCAGGATCAGGCAGGGTTGTAAAGGAAGAAATGGCAGACAGCTGGGGGCTAGGGAGGCCTCCGCAGTTACTGAGCAGTCAGCGACTGACAAAAACAAGTGTCACGCTTTTTCCCTTCCCACATGCTACTGCCCATTTGGAACACACGCAGGCATGTACACACACACTCCAAAAACAAAACACTCAGAGGACAAGCCGGGGTCGCTTCCGTCGCGCTGCAGGCGCCCGTTCACAGATCCGACCGGAATGTCTTACTGATCATGTCAGCAGCGCAGCCAGTGACAGGGTGAGCTCTGGGGACCGGGCAGAGGCAAACGCCATCCCAGCCGCTGCCACGGCAGCCTGGACCACCGCTGAGGGTTACAGTGTAGCTCCTGAGCTCCCAGACAGGAGCCGGGCGGGCACCCCCTCGCCAGCAGCTGCAAACTTCCAGGTGCTTGCAGGGAGGCAGGTGCAGCCTCTGTGGGAGCCTGGGGTCCCCCTCTTACTAGCCAGGTGATGCAGGTCAAATTAGCCTCTCTCTGTGTCCTCATTTCTAAAATGTGGGTGATAATATGGCCGGTGTCTGTGGGTGAGCGTGAGGATTACATCAGAGAATGAGTGGGAAGCCCTTCCTCAGTAAATGTGAGTCTCCCACTCCCCACTTGTTCCTGCCCGAGCCTGGGCTGCTGGGGCTGTCCCTCTCCCTGGCCCTGCGTCACAGGTGCCCCCTGCCTGCCCGGCCAGGCCTGGCCTCAGGAGCTGCACAGCCAGCGCCTGGGGAGAAGTGAGGGCTGGTCCGGGCTGAGAGGGAGGAGTCTGCCTTCCCAATTGCTCCTTGTTCATTCTCCCTGCTGCTCCTGCTGCCACCACAGCACCCTCCTGGGGGAGGGGCAGACCAGGACCTGAGCTGGCACAGAACACAAACCAGATCGGCACTGTCTCCCGTGCCAGGCGGGGCTTGTACTGCCGAGTGGACGCTCCAGAGCAGCCCTCTGCCTCGGCGGTGCTCCGGCAGCCGGACCCCTGCCTCGTCCCCAGGCCGACAAAGCGCTGTCCAGATCACCCATGGCGCTCTTAAAACAAACCCTTGCCACCTGGCAGTGAACACGCAGGCTGGCGGGAGGGCCTGATGGGAGGGGCCCGCCTCCTACTCTAACCCCTTTCAACCGACCAGAGCTAAAGACGCCTGCTCTGCTCCACGTGGCCGCCTCGGGCGCATAGTCCTCCTCCTCCGCCCCCAGCCCTGCCCTCTGCCCTCCGGGCCTGTGGCCCTGGCCTACCTGCCTTGGCCAGTGCCCCCAGTGCCGGGCTGAGCTCCACCTGAAGAGGGAAGGGCTCACGTCACAGGCTCTTTCTTCCTAGACAGGGAAGAGCACGAGAGCCAGGGGTCGAGAGGATGACCTTCCGCGTCCCTGGCCTTCCTCTTCCTCACACCCCATGTCTAGCGATTCACCCCATGATTTCTCTGCTCTGCTGTGTTGGGAAGAGAATACAGTTGACTCCACATGATGACAGGCTACAGTGGCATCGTCCGCGGCAGCGCTGGTCAGAACTGGGGAAGGCGGGCTGCAGGCAGCCGCTGGCGCCTGGCATCGCTGCGCAGGCCCCGCTCCCACGAGGGGCAGGCAGCCAGGGAGGATGTTCAGCCTGTCCTCACTCCCCGAGAATGGCCGCACAATGATACCAGGACGTCAAGCTAATTTCTATAGGCTCAGCCCTGCTGTCTCCCTGGTAAAGGGAGAGTGTCCATCTGGAGAAAGATCTTTCTTTTTTTTTTTTTTTTTTGTTTTTTTTTTAATCCTCACCCGAGGATACTTTTTCCATTTTTTTTGTACAGATAGAGTGGGAGGGAGGGAGAGGAAGGGAGAGAGAGAGAGAAACATCGACGTGAAGGGACACATCGAGTGGCTGCCACCCGCACGACCAACCAAGGCCGGGGACAAACTGCAACCAAAGTACGTGCCCTTAGCGGGAACCGAACCCGGGTCTCTCCGGACCGCAGGCTGACGCTCTAACCGCTGAGCCAAACTGGCCAGGGTGAAAGATCGTTCTTAAAACGTGGCCTTTGAAGACTAAGTAGGCTGCAAGGGAAAGACAAGACTTTTTCTCCAGCACACTGAGAACAAAGCTACTTGTGCCTGACCCATGCCCCGAACACGGGTGCGGCTGGAGGAGAGCCGCGGTCTGCAGCGGGTTCTCGGGAGTCTCCTAGCGTAGCCGCCCTTTACCCAGCTCACTCTGTGCTGGGCTCCGCGATGCTGTTTCACAGGAATGCCCCGTTTGAACCTTCCACAACTCTGCGGGCTGTACTGTCGTTGGGTCATATTAACAGAGGAAGTGTCTGAGATGTTAGGAGGTTATGTGATGAAACCTAGGTAGTCTTACTCCAGTGGCCCAATGGTTAATCATGTTTTACTTTCTCTCGATATCCTCTGAAATAGGCAAGCCCCCTCCTCATACTGCTCATTTCATCCTATCTGCAAGACCCCTCCCTGGCTCTCAAGGGACTATTCTCAGAGAAAATTCTGAGAAAAACTCCCAAGCAAGTCCTGCTATGTGTCTCTCTGCTCCTCAGGCATAATTTTCAGATGAGATAAAAGTCTCAAGTCATCCGCCCTGTCCACCAGGATGAGTGTGTTTGTCACAGCCGAGGGAGGAGCCCTTGCCGCAGCACCATGGTGCGACACTTCACCGATGAGCAGGGGTCATCAGCACACTCCGAAGAGGTGATGCCCATGGTCTCACCCTGGGCTCCAGCGGAGGGAGGGCGGCTGGTCTAGGGTCACGTGAGGAGAGCCTGGGGTTTGTCTCACCCCACTACCGAGGGGCAGGAGCACTCAGGAAACCAGGTGGAGTTTATGACTGTGGAATTGAAGAGCAGAAATGTCACCCCTTCTGCCACCCCGGGCCAGCCTTCCATGGCAGCCACCATCAGCAGGAGGTGTCAAATGTTAGGCCGATTCTTCCGGTCAACTGGGTCCTAAAGAGTCATAGGCCACTGCTGCCTTCTGGCTAGGCCACGTGAAGCCAGGCTGGCCAGATGGTCCCAGCTTCGGCCTTTTCTCTCCTGGCGGGAGGTCCAGGCCCTCCTCATGGAGAGGAGATGGACTGCCTAAAGTCAGGGACCTGTCAGTCCAACCTCAACCACAAATTGGATGGATGACCTTGAGCAAGTAACTTGGGCGTCCTGTCTCTCAGTTTCCTCCACCATGCGCAAGATGGAAACCCTAGTCCTGCCAACCCCCGGCAGGGCTGAGACCTCCTGAGCGAAGGAGGGTGGGCTGGGGGAGGGGAAGCACCAATGAGTGCGAGAGGGCGAGAATTCTCTGCACTCACAGAGCAGTGACTGTGCCAAGCACTTGCCAACAGTTCCCTCCTCGCAGCCAGTCACTAACCCCGTTCACATGAAAATAAAAGGTCACATGATTTGCCCAACGCCTCTCATTTAGTGAGAGAGGAGCCAGCTCCTGACCACACTCAACAGCGAGGACCTCCTGTGTGTGAGGCCAGCGGTGGCATTTTACATTCTACATGGCGGCCCTGTCACCATAGTGGTGATCAGGCCCTGCTGTGACCATCCCGGTGAGCCGAGGGGTCCAGGAAGGCTGTCACACAAACGCCTCTTTCCCACACATGCCTGGGACTTTGCAGTGGGTCTTCTGACATTTGGAACCTGGGGGATCGGGCCGAGACATAAAGACCCAAGTCCTCTCGCTTGCCAGTCTCCACTACGTCTAAGGGGCACCTCGCAGGCAGGTTCCACAGCCAGGAAGAGACATGGGAGCGCACGGACATGCATGTGTGCTGACTGTCTCAGCCATCTGAGCCTGTGGGGATGCCCTTCCTCCAGGGCCCAGGGGCCATGGGCAGCTTGCTTCTCCTTTCACTAGGGGGCAGTGTCAGGGGCCAGGACATGCTTCTGTCACTCTGCAGAGAGGCCCCATAGGCATAGCGCATCCTTAATAACCATTTGTTGATTTCTCTGTGTTTTGTTGGGCATGGGAGCCCCTATCATCAAAGGACAGCGGTCACTCAGGGGAGGAAAAGTCCGGAAGTTCCCCAAACTTCACCCCTTGTAAAGGCCACAGGACCTCCGCCTAGGGAAGAGTTAACTTTCTGGCCACTGGAGACAGTGGCCTGCCCGCAGAGGCTGCCCAGCCAATGACACTCAGTGCTGATGATGTCATGCTCCTCCTGCGCCTTCTATTGGGGACTGGACAGCGAATCGTGCTGGAGGTGTGGGCAGTGGAGAGGAGGAGCTGGGCGGGGGCAGCAGGAGAGAGAGGGGAAGGGAAGCAAGCAAAGCCAGCACAGTGGCCTCATCCCTCTCCCCAGTGCCCCTGAGCCTCCTGCAGGAGGGACCAGGGGCCACCCGACACTCTCGGACAAGCAGAGCAGAGCAACTTTGGTCCAGAGGAAAGGCTGGGAGCTCCCATTCCCAACTGGAGAACACAGACACTGAGCCTGCCCCCGGGCACACAGGGGGCGAGGGGCCAGCCTGCAGGGCCAGCGCACACACACCCATGTACATCCCCAGGCGTGCACAGGGACAGGACATGGCAGCCTCCTTGGCAACACCCACCCCACCCAGACTCTCCTCAGCCTTACCTGCCAGAGGACTGGGAGTCTGTTTCCAAGCTGCTGCCCACAGCTGCCCCATCGATGTCAGTGGGCTCCCTGTGGGAGGCAAGAACAGGCAGGAAGAGCTGTGGACCAGACCGGGACCCCCTCCCCTACTCTCTGCACGGCCTAGCCACATGGGGCGGGGCGCTGGAGGTGGCAGCCAGCGTCTTGAAGAGCTCCAAGCCCCTGCTCTGATGGGGAGCCTCTCAGGAGTCCTGGCAAATCTCTCTAGCCTCCCTGGAGGCCCAGGCAGCCCCTGCCCACCTTCAGCTCAGCCACACCTTCCTCCCACCACCCAGCCCGCGGCCCGGTCCGTTTCTCACGGTTGGACCCGGTTGGCGAATCGTCGGCGCCAGAGCACAGCCAAGGTGCTGAGCAGGAAGAGGGTGGTGCACATGGCTCGGCTGCCCCATCCCTCCCGGAGGGAGGCTGCAGAAGAAGGCCAGGATGGCCCTGCCTGCGCTCCCAGGCGCTGCTGTGCCTCCCAAGGCTCCTGCTGGCCACGGATTAGGAGGCTCAAGCTGATTACTGGGGTCAGCAGACCCGACCTTGTGAAGACCGATTAACTTCCCTGGGCCCAGGTTGTCCCCCAGGGCAGGGTAAACGGCTTCAGCCTATTCCGGATGTGGACAGACTAGGACGTGGGCCTGGCCCTCAGGGTGCGTAGAGTCCACACCAGGGTGTGCACAGTGACCACAGTGGAGTAACTTAAGGCGGTGAAAGTGCAGGGCACTTTGGGAGTTGTACGCATCAGGGGAAGCTTCCAAGAGGAGCTGGGGGCATCTGAATCCGCGGGAGCTCCAGGAAGACGGGGTCCTTGGACAGGAGGCCCTGCCAGGGCGGCAGACCATGAACGCGCAGGGCCTGTGCCAGCGACTGGAAGTTGAGTGGCAGCAGGGCAGTGATGTCACAGGACAGGCACAGGAGGGAGGAGGAGAGGGCAGGAATGGATGATGAAGCCGGAAAGCCAAGGGAAGCCAGGGAGTGAAGGCTGGCGAGGTGGTTCAGGTCCGCCCTCTGGACATCCTCTCTGACGGCTCTGATTTTATGCCCTCCTCAGTGAGAGGCAGGATTTAAGTGTGCACTCACGAGCTACATCTACACATCCACTTACAAACCACACACTGTGCTACTGTGCAAACACGCCCTGCACCACAGACATACGTGCACTGGTAAAGGATGAGCTAACGAACAGAAATAAGATTTCTTCTACTCTCTCCCCACATGCCGGTGAGACTTCTCGGGCAGCCACTGGGAAGGCCACTGTGCTGACTTTGGGAGACTATCCGAGGAGCTCAGTGAGGTGGCCCAGTGCAGTCTTGGCCTAGGCAGGCCACCCCACAGGGGCCCAAAGTGAGGACATGGATCTGAGAGTGATATAAGGAACCGAACCCACCGTCTCTCCTCCATCCCCCTCCAGGGCCCCTAGATGAAGGCCAGACTTCCCATCCCTCGGCTGAGACAGAGGCAGCGTCCAGAGGCCACCTGCCGGGGAGTCCAGCAAGGTGCCTGCACCCCGAGGCCCAAGGAGGGCCAGAGCTGGGGCGCACTTGGGCTCTCCACTTTGAAATGAGTTTTTAAACAAACACAGACCAACGTTGAGGAGGAGAGCCAGCCTCCCGCAATACTGTAGCAGTGGGACAAAGCCTGGAGAGGGGCAGGGTCACCAGGGAGCCCTGGGGAAACTAGACACCCCCGGAATGTTGTCACATGGTTCAGAAGAGAGGCTGCGGCCCGCCTGGCACCCGCTTCTGCTGGGAGTCCGAGGTGGGGCCGGGCTGCCCTGGACTGACAGCAGCTTGCAGGCTAGGAACCCGGGGCTCTCAGAGGTACAGTCCCACCTCTGGTCCAACAGCACCTCTCCCTGAGCAGGGCCACCAGGACAAGACTTTGTCTCCCCCACCCCCAGAACGCCTCCCCAATAGGGGCCTTGGCGGCTGAGATGTCTCAAGCAGCATGGGCTTCCCCAAAACTTCTTGACCCCCTCCCCCCAGGTCTGCTTTGCCCAGCCCTGCTGCCTCCCCTTCGGACTTTGCTCCACCAGGGCCAGAATCCAGGGCAGTTGCCTGGCTGTTGCCTGCCTGTGTCATTAATACACCACCCAGGGACCTCTGTCCTGGGACACGGGTGTTTACATTGGGGCAGGGCCTCAGGCGCTCCAGCTTGACAGCGGTCCCTGTCCCGGCGGACGATTCCAGTAAGGTACCGGAGCGGGGAGACAAGCCAGTCCTAACCGTCCAAGCCCCGGGTCCGGGTCCGAACTCTGAGAGCGGCGGGCGCCGCAGCCCCCAACGGCTGGCTCGGGAGAGGCCAGGAGCCGGCGGGAGCTCCGATCTGACCGCGGCACCGGTGGGGGTGGGGGTGGAGGTGGGGGGCTGGCGTCTAAACCCTCGGGCGGGTGACTACACCGCAAACGCCTGGAAGTGTCTGACTTTGAGTCAGTTTCCCGGAGCGTGAAGGGTGCACACACACGGATGGGTCCCGACTCCGACCGCAGCCTGAGCGACGACCCTGTGCCCCCAGACCCGCCCCCGCCCGGGCGCACTCCTGCGCGGCCCGCACCGCCCCGCGCCGCGTGACCGCCCCTCCTCCCCGGACCACCCAGCTCAGCCGCCACACCCACGCCGCGGCCCCGCCCCGCCCGGCGGAAAAACTCCGTGGGGTCCTGGCCGGAGGGCGGGCGGGCGCCCCCGGGTCTCCCCGACCCTACCCGCCTTCACCTTGCAGGACTCGGCCCAGGGACACGGGGTCGGGGGTTCGGAGCGGATTTGTTTTTTAACATTTCCCATCAGACTGCATCCCCGCCCCCGCTCGCGTCCCCCGCCCCCCGCACATATACCCTGCGCGCAGACACACACTCACACGCGCGCGCGCGGCGCGCACAGACAGACACGCTCCCTCCCTCCCTCCGGCGCGCTCTCCCCGCGCCCGCTCGCCGCGCACACAGCCGGCCGGCTCCCGCGCCCCGCCGCCGCCGAGCGAGGCCGGGCTGGGCTCGGTGCTGCTCATGGAGAAAGTGCCGGGCGAGATGGAGATGGAGCGCAGGGAGCGGAGCGAGGAGCTGTCCGAGGCGGAGAGGAAGGCGGTGCAGGCTACGTGGGCCCGGCTCTATGCCAACTGCGAGGACGTGGGGGTGGCCATCCTGGTGAGGTAGGTGTCGTCCCAACCCAGCCGGGCCCGGGCGAGGGAGGGCGGCAGAGGCTCCGGGCAGGGGCGGGCTCGGCCCGGGTTCGAGCTCCCGCGCCACCTCCCAGATGCTATTGGGGCCAGACCGGCCGGCGGGTGCGGGTAGCGTGGGGCGCCTTGGGTGGGCAGAGCTGTGGGTGAGCCCTCCCTGTCTCTGGGCGCGGGGCTCACCAGGAACTAGGAGCCAGATGGAGGAGGACAGCACCTGCGTCCCCCTCCTCTCGCTGGCCGCGGAACTCCAAGCTCAGCCAGGGATGCCTCCCTCACCAGCGACCCCAGCCACCAGACAGCTGCTGTGGACACATTTCACTACCCCTTCGAAGGGTTGCGTCAGTGGGGGCTCCCCATTTCTGAGAAGGGAAAACTGAGGCTCAGCCCATGAGGGGGACACAGGGGAGCAGAGCCCGCTTTCCAGCTCACCCCCTTGAAAGAATTCAAAGCCTCTTGGGAGAACAGAGCAAAGGGCAAGCGAATAGAGGTCAGAAGACACAGAGGCTGAGGTCCAGTTTCTCAGCAGGCCCCTTCCTGCCCCTGGGGAGCGGCCGCAGGGAGCTCCCAGGTGGGGCACAGGTGAGTGGAGGAGCAGAGTCCCTAGGATGCCATCCCCGCCGACTTCCTGCGCAGGGAAAGAGACTACAGGACACAGGCCCCACCCTGAGCCTGCCACCTGGGTGGGAAAGGCCACGTGTCCTCGGCTCGGGTCATTCTGACACGCATGCCTCAGAGGGACCCCCCCCCACAGTGATACTATTATTCGCCCACATACATACCACGCTTACACCATTCCTGTATTGAGAGTGTCCCCAAGCCCACAAGCTGGTAACTGACTCTAACTCAGATCTGTGCTCACTTCCTGAAAGTGCCGGTCCCTGGGGGTGCCGGCAGAGAGGCCCAGACCACATTCCCCCTGAACCCCTGTCCTTGGCCGGGGAAGCTGTCAATCTAGGACAGAGCAGGGCAGTCTTGCCCTGTGAAGCCGGGCGAACCCCCGAACCCCGCGATGGAGAGCTGGCCCAGCTCTGGCTCCTGTTTCTCCCACACACACGCTCTCCCTTCTGCCTCCCCCAAGCCTGGGACCCACCGCTCCATATTGATACGTCTTGATTCCAACTAAGAAACAGATTTTGGAGGAAAAGAGCAAAAAGCACCCTCGAGGAGCTGGAGGAGGGTCCCTGAGGAAGGGGCAGCTATTTCAGCAGCTTCCGGGGGTGGCGGGCAGCGAAGAGGGGATTTCAGATCCCGAAGCCATCACAGTGGGAGGTGCAGATCCCCACGTGGGAGGGAGCACCCACACAAGCACATGGTGGGCAGAGGAGCCCAGATGCCTCCCTGGAGGGCCGCCCCAGCCTGGCGAGTGCGGGCCCCAGGCCTCAGGACGCGCTGAGTGCACCCAGGGGTCACCACGAGAAGATGACAGAGTCCTCAGGACGGATCTTGGTGCAGCCCTCTGCCATTAGCTAGTGAGAACATGTGGGCATGTGTCTGTCCGAGATCTGGCTCCTGGGGTGCCACCTCTCCAGGAGTGGGGGCCCACAGAGGAGGGAACTGGGTGCCGGGGCTGAGCTCTTTCTGAAGAGTCTGAGCGCTTGGAAAGGCTCTCCTCTCTCTGCACCCCTCTAGTGCCCCTGACTCTTAGAGCTGGGCTGGCGGAGGTGTTTACCAAAGTACTCAGTACTGAGAGGGGCCCACAATGCATCGAGAAGAACTGAGGTAGCAGTTAGATCAGGACTGCTGGTAACCCCATTCCACACTTCACCTGACCTCCCCCACCCCCCCCACCCCCACCTCCCACCCCCACCCCCCGTGTTGACCAGAGCCCAGCCCAGCCCAGCCCAGCCCTGGAGAACCCGGCCCAGTCCCTCCCTGCCAGCCTTCCTTCCTTCTTCTCCCCCGCGCTCCGCCCCAGGACCTGCCATTGGGGGGGCTTGAAGGGGTAAAGGAGGGGTAAGGGCAAGACTAATAACCTTCTCAAGTGCCCCAAAGCGCCCCCCAGATCCTGTGCCCCTCAGTTTTGTCACAATCCCTCCTCTCCTCTCACCCCCCCCCCCACAAGGACAGGCCCCAGTGAGAGCCTGAGACATAGCCCTCTGACCGAGACTCTCACCTTCTCCCTGCCCACTGGGCTGAGGCCCCCCTGAACCCCCACCTCAGGACTTAGCAGCCACACTGTTCATGGCGGTGGAGGAGCTGCCTGGGGGTCTGAGACACCCACACCTCCAGCCCTGCCCCTTCCGGGAGGACACGAGATGGAGAGGGACACTCATGCTCCAGGAAGCCGCCCTCCTGGTTGTAACTCTGCCCCCCCCCAAACAACGAGATGGAGAGGGACACTCATGCTCCAGGAAGCCCCCCCCCCAAACGAGATGGAGAGGGACACTCATGCTCCAGGAAGCCGCCCTCCTGGTTGTAACTCTGCCCCCCCCCAAACAACGAGATGGAGAGGGACACTCATGCTCCAGGAAGCCCCCCCCCCAAACGAGATGGAGAGGGACACTCATGCTCCAGGAAGCCGCCCTCCTGGTTGTAACTCTGCGCCCCCCCCCCGCCCCCTGCACGCAGACGAGCCTATTTCAGGCGCTCCTGGAAGCCCAGATGCCTCTGGGAGCTGAGAAACTCCCCAAGGCTGGCTGCTGAGGCTTCTCCCGGCAGCACAGGCCTGGATGGGAGGCTCAGTAAACACGGAGGGGCTGGGCAGTGACACCAGGACGTGGCCCCTGGACTCCCCTGGCACAGAAGAGGGTCTTCCTGGGACTGGCATTTCTCAGGGCCATAATCTGGCTCTGGGTGTTGAGGTAGCGGACTGACCTGGGTCCCAGACCCCCCACCACAGTGCAGTAGGGACTGCCAGTCCCCCTCCTGGCCCTACCGCCAACTTCACTGGGCAGCCGTGGGCACCAGTTCCTAATCCAGAAGGCGGGGAGACAACAGTACCAACGCTGAGGAGAGGATTGCAGGGATGAATGAGATCACATAATAAATGCTCAGTAAATATTCCCTCATCGGCAAAATGGATATAACAACTGCATAGTTGTGGTAATTCAATGAAATAACAGGTGGAGATGCTTTGCACATTGTGACGCACCAGGCAAATAGAAGCCATTATTTTATTTTATTTTTTGGTTAATCCTCACCCGCGGATATTTTTCCATTGATTTTTAGATAGAATAAAAGGGAGGGAGAGAGAGAAACATCGATGTCAGAGAGACACATCCGTTGGTTGCCTCCCGAAGGACCCCGGCTGGGGATTGGGGCCCGGGATCAAACCTGCAACCCAGGTATGTGCCCTTGACCAGAATCGAACCTGAGACCCTTTGGTCCACAGCAGGCCGACACTCTAACCACTGAGCCAAACCGGCCAGGCCTAAAGATCGGGTTTGTCATCTTTGTTCCTCATAACAATGCTTCCCCAGAAAAACCCAGTGTGTTTTCAGACTCCTTGGCTCCGTCGTCCTCAGCAGCGTGTCTGTAGGGTAGCGAGCAGGAGGGCCTCCTCTCACACAGGAAGCTGTGAAGTCTTCGACCCAAGGTCACACTTGGCCTCGGAGAGGGCCCTTGTCTCCACATGCACCACATCCTGGTCACTCCCCCGTCATCGGCCGCTTCCCTGCCGGAATGCCAGGCCAGCTGCCGCTGCAGCCTCGGCTCCAGCTCTCAGGTCTGAGACGAAAGGCCGCTTTGGCAAACTAGGAGCTGTCCCGTCACCAAGGGGGACACTCCAAAGTAGGACACAACCTGAGAAAACAGGTCCAAGACATTCCATACATTTTCTGAGGCTCCAGTTATGTACATGCCGATTGAGTCTGTGCACGTACCTCCCAAGGTGTCCAGCCCCGGTTGTCAGTGACCACAGGGCCTTGGGCAGGGTCATGGGCCAGAGGGTGCATGAGACCTGGCTCCATCCTCGGACTGTGGGACCCAGTAAAGGTGGCAGGAGAGCCACGGATGGCGTTGAGGGGAAAGCAGTCGCGCTGGGCAGCCTGGGCGCTTGGGGACAGGAGAGTCCGTCACGAGGCAGTCCACCACGGGAAGGAAGGCCAGCACACGCAGGGACAGCTGCCAGCAGAGAGGGAAGCTGTGGGGCTGGAGAGAGATGGCTCGGGGGTAGGGGAACATGGACACGATGATGGGGAAGTGGGTGTGGACACGTCTGTGGGTGGGCAGTTTGTAAGAAGACTGGAATGCAAAGTTAAGGAGTTTTGACTGGTAAACAGTGGGAAGCGGCTGAGTGTTTCTGAGCATGAGCGTGATGACATGAAAGTGACAATTTCAGATAAACGGGAGAGGTGAAGGGCTAGAGTTAGAAGCCCTGGGGTCTGCTCCAAGAGGTGCACAGGCTTGTTGGAGAGGTAGGGTGTGCGGCGGGAGACAGAACCACGCCGGCAGGTGAACTCGATTGCTATCTTTAATTAAGTCAGCCGATTGATATTTACTGCAGCCCGAGGAGAGAGAGGGTGCAGAGGGAAGAGGTGGAGCTGGAAGAAGAAGGACCGAGTCTCGTGTTGCCCTAGTTGGTCTCAAGCATCCTCTGGCCCATCGCCCTGCCCGAGGCCCTGTGGCTGGGAGACCTGGGTGCAGCCTTTCCCCCTTTACTTTGTTTATACTAAGAGCACCCTAACTTTATCACACTGAGGGTTGCCCCATGTCCAGCTCTGCTGAGGACTCCACACGCAGCTTCTCGCTTCATCTCACACCTCACAAGATAGGAACGATGATGCCCATTTCACGGGTGAGGAAACTGAGGCTCGGAAAAGTTAAGTAGCTTGCCGGAGGTGGCACTAGCCCGTGAGTGCAGCTCTGACCCTCTCCGCTGTGACGAAGAGCAGCTCTAGAAGGGCGCGTGGGGTTTGGGAAGGGGCTGAGGAGCCAGGGAGCCAGAGGCCTGGGACACAAAGCTGCCAGTCTGAGCAAGCCGGGCCGACAGAAATGGCCAGGACCAGGGCGGTAAGCCGGCTCCGCCAGAGAAGGGTCTCTGGTGGACAGCTCTCATGGTGGTGGAAACAGTTATTGGGGTGGGCCCTGCCTCTCCCAGCCCACACCCACCTGTCCTGGCCACTCCAGGGTCAGGCCCGAGGCAGCCCTGCCTCAACGCCCGCCCCTTCCCCCCACCAGGTTCTTTGTGAACTTCCCCTCGGCCAAGCAGTACTTCAGCCAGTTCCAGCACATGGAGGAGCCCCTGGAAATGGAGCGGAGCCCGCAGCTGCGCAAGCATGCCTGCCGGGTCATGGGGGCCCTCAACTCTGTTGTGGAGAACCTGGACGACCCGGAGAAGGTGTCCTCCGTGCTCGCCCTGGTGGGCAAAGCCCACGCCCTCAAGCACAAGGTGGAGCCCGTGTACTTCAAGGTGTGTCAGCCCACCCCCCACCCTGCTTGCTCCGGGCCCCCCCAGGCCCCTGGCCAGGGGAGCACCCACTGGACCACCCAGCCTCTTCCCTGGCTGGGCTAACAGGGAGGGGCAGCAGGAAGGGGCTGGGTCTTCGAAGCAGCTGGTTCCCAAAACTGCCGGGCTGGGGTGTCATACATACTCTCCTGGGCTGGGTAGAGAGGGTGCTGGGAGCTGGGGGGGCGCCCAGGCACTGACTCCCCGTCCTCCCTTTGCCCAGATCCTCACTGGGGTCATTCTGGAGGTGATCTCTGAGGAATTTGCCAATGACTTTCCGCCCGAGACGCAGAGAGCCTGGGCCAAGCTGCGCGGCCTTGTCTACAGCCACGTGACCGCCGCCTACAAGGAAGTGGGCTGGGTGCAGCAGGTCCCCACCGCCGCCACGTGAGGAGGGGTGAGGGTGGGCCGGGCAGCTCCCTGCGGGTCCCCCCGTCCCCTGGTCTCCCACCTCTCCGCGCCAGGGTGGCCGCTGGGCAGGAGCCTGGGTCTGCGCACAGGCCCCTGGCCGCCTGCGCAGAGCTGTGAGCCCCCCACGGAGCCCCCGCCCCCGGAGCAGGGGGTTCTCAGCCCGAGGCAGACGGCAGGAGGTTCCTAGCGGGAAGGCTGGCTCGTGGTGCCCAGAGGCTGCCAGGCAGTTCCTGCCCCTTCCTCCCTGGGCGCCAGTCACGTGGGGCTGTTTTCACCTAAGGCTGAGCAGCGCTCCCCACATCTGCCTCCGCAAGGTCGCAGCCCGGGGAGTCACGAGGACCAGCGTGGCGGGCCCGCGTGGGTGTCACGCTACGCACACCACAGGGGTGTTTACTTCTGCGCTGACCCCGGGTCGGGTTCCCAGTTCTGGGGTGAGGGAGAGGGCTGGAGGAGCGCGGGGAGGGCTGGCCCCCGACGTGGCGGCTGGGAACACTCCGGCCTCCCCGGGCCCCCAAGGGGCGGCCGGCTCTGGGAGCTCAATGGAAAGGCGGAGGCAGGAGCAGAGGCGGGAATGGGAAGCAGGGGTCAGCCAGCAGCTCAGGACACGCGTTGTAGAGCAACATTCCCAGCAGTTTCCCATGGAAAAGGCGGGTCCCTCCCTGGGTTCCAAGCTGGCCCTCGAGCTCCGGACTCCTTGCTCGCAGGCGCCCGGTGGGCGGGCACAGCTCCAAAGCCAGGGCCCCCAGGGCAGCCTTGGGAGGCCGGGGCCTCCTGATCAGCCCTCTGGCGGCGCTGGCCCCAGGCTTTGCCTGCTCCCTTCCCCCATCCGAACCACCGCAGGAGACAGGCGTTCTCAGGAACTGCTAGCCGCAGCCAGGCAGCCCCTCCAGATGCGCACAGCTGGGCCTGGGCCGCTCCAGATGGCAGTGGATGGGAGGCAGGCAGTTTTACCTGTCCTGGGAGGCACAGGCAGAGCCAGGGGAGCAGCTCCGGCAGCCAGAGGGGCCAGGGAGGGGTCAGCAGGGGAAGGGGCCTTGCCCTCCCACAGCCTCCCCCAGGCAGGCTCTGCCGCCAAAGATGAGTTTGTTTACAGCCAGGAGACAAAACTTCCTGCTTCTAGAGAAAAGGGCTTTTTACAGGGGCCTAGAGGGAGCTGAGCTAGAGGGCTGGCCAGCACAAGCCCCAGCGAATCGCAAACACATGGACTTGTTCCCGACACGAAGCCCTGTACCCTCCCCTTTCTTGGCCCAGCTGGACCCCTGGGACTTGAATCTCTCCAAACCCCAAGTATTAGGAAACCACCATCTCCTCATCTGCCCGTTCATCCCCTTGTAGACTGAGCGGAGAGAGCGACAGGGGAGTGGCCGGGCCTTCTCCCACCTGGGCCAGGGCACCTCGCGCTTGGGTTCCCCCTCTCCCCAAGTGTGAAGTCATGGGGATTGATTGTCTCCTCACCTTCTGCCAAGGCCCCCGTGGGTTCGGAGGGTGGAGGGAGGGGCAGGGCAGAGCTGTAGAGGGGCCTCTGTCCAGTTCCTCTTATCAGGGACCAGGGGTGGGCCAGACGCCACTGTTTATTGAGCTGTCTCTGCTTAAGGGTGTGGGTGCGTGTTTGTGGGTGCGGAGGCGGGGGGCGTGGTGGTGAGTGCAAAGGGCCGTGTGCAGAGAATGCCTCTGGGTGGCCAGGGGGGGACCCAGGCAGGCCAGGCAGAGAGCCCACATTTTTATGGTTCTTTGCAGTTTGTGAAACCCTTTCCCACAGTGGATGTCCCTCGCTTCTCAGAGCTAGGCGAGGCGGAATTCACACTGTAGAGAGAAAGGTCTGGGTCGCACAGGCTCTTAGCAGGAGGGAGACTAGCACTCGGGTCTCCTGGGCTGCTCGCACCTGTACCACGTGGGGTCTCGGCAGCTGGCCTCCCGCCTTGCATCCCCCGATTCCTCTCGCTCGCCGCAGTGTGCCCTGGTCCCAGTCTGTGCCCCTTGTGACCTGTTCCTCCATCTCCTGTCTCTCATCCACAGCCCACCGGCCACACTGCCCTCCCCCTCCTCGGGGCCATAGGGCCTCTTCTGTCCTCTCCCCTCCCTGGCAGCTCCTTGAGCAGAAGGCCAAGTTCTGAAGACCCTTCTCGACCCTCCATTTCTGGGTGCCAAGGACGCTGGAGGAATCCCTGACTCGTCTTCCTGGACAGAGGCCTCTGCCTCGGCCACAGTCCCCTGGAGCCGCCGGGAGGTGGCACTGGATGCTGACCCAGTCGGTGGCGGGTGGCCTGTGGGGGTGGGGGCCCTTCCTCCTTGCAGAGCCTGGTCCACTCTTCTTAGCTTTTCTACTCACGGATAGAGACCTCGCTGCGCAGCAGGCAGGAACTGGGCACAGGTCTGAGAGCCACTGCGGGATGCCCCAGCCCGGTGCTGTCTGCCCGGTCAGCATGAGGTCTCATCACCTATCTAGAATATCACGCACACGTATCTACCATATATACAGATATATTCTATATACAATCTATATAAATATATATATATACACACATACATATCTAGAACGTGTATCTGTGGGGCCCAGGGGCCCACGTGAGCCTGGATTCTGCTCTTCTGCGCGTGGGGCTGGGAGGGGTCCTGCTAATGCTTCTGGGCAGAGAACAGAGTGTTCTGGCAGAGGTGGGGGTCCCACATCAGCACAGAGAGGATCTGAGCCTGTGGATGGAGTTGGGGTAACCCAGGGGCCTGCATGGGCGGGTTTGGGGTGACAGCCCATTCTCAGACCAGCTCCCCACATTCCTGCTTTCTACTTCTAGGCAAGAAAGGTGTGGCCCTCCCCACCTTCACCCTGCACAGAAGGATGTGTGTGGTCCCTACCTTGTTCCAAAACGGGCAAGGGCAGACAGAGGGGCCAGAAGGTCTCGACAGGATGACTGTGCTGGGGGAGGGGCCACAGTAAAGAATCCTCAAATGCCAGCCCCATCTGCCCTTGTCACTAAGACGCCCCGGCAGGAGGAGGGATGATGACCCAGGAACAGATGCCCCCATCCGTGCTGGAGCTCTGAGGGCCAAGGGCCCTCTCTCCCCTGCCCCTCCTGGCTGCCGCCTGGCAGTCAGTCCCGTCCATCCATCTGGGTCAGAGTTGTGGGGGACCGCCCCCCTTGTGCCCCTGGGTCACGTGTGTTGTCCTCAAGGATGTTTTGCTGCTGTGACTATTATGCCCATGTCCCCTCCTGTCCCGTCCTCGTGCAGCCGTCCGTGTAACTGCCTTACCCTCCTTTCGTAGTTTCTGATGTTTGTAACAGACCCAGCCACGTCATTAAACAGACTCCTCTTCCTGTGTATGCTCATTCGGTCTTTTCCTGTCATCTGCCTGGACTGTCTCCCTCTTCAGGGCAGGGGTGCCTCTTTCCTGGAAGCCTCCCCTCCCCCCAACCTGTGTGTCAGCTTCCGCTGGTTGAGGACCCCCTGAGTTGGGGGCCCTGACCTGTTTAATGAAGAGCCCTGGGCCGGAGACTGGAAGCTGGGCTTTGGGGGGAGGCAGGAAGGGTGTCTGCTTGTTTAATAAAGTCAGGGAGCTTCAGTCTTCTGTTCCGGAAATCTCCCTGGTGAGACTCGGGGAAGGGAGGGAGGAACAAGGAAGAGATGTTCGGAAAGGGGCCCTTACAGTCCCAGTGTCCTATTGAGGACTGTCTTCTGGAGAGGAGCACATGCCAAGTGCCTGGCCTGCTGCCCCAGGTGCCTGGGCGGATCAGCCCGTGGGTGCTGGAGAAAGGAAATGCGCCCTTAGTCTTAAATCCCAACACCTGCCCTGAGCGCTCAGCTCCCAGACCCCTTCCCAAGCCCTCTGTCCTGCACCCCACAGCCTCCAGCCAGGCCTGCCCAGCCCCCACAACTGATGGAGGCAGCCGTCAGCAGCATCAACTCCCTGAGGAGGGACCAGGAGGTCACCACCCGCGGGTGGGCTGCAGGAGAGGCAGGAAGCAGCCTCTGCCCCTTGGGAGGGCTGCCGGCTGCCTGGGAAGATTCAGCTCACACACAGGAAAAGTCTTGTCTCCCAGACGGTGAACTCCCCGAACGCAGGCTGCGCCTTCAACCCCTGGGCACTGCAGAGGTACGCGACAGAAATCCAAAGAATAAATAAATACCACTCTTAGAAAGCAAAACCAGCACGCAGGCCAAGAGTGAGTTGTGCAAACCGAGAAGCAAGCGCCGAGCGAGCGCGCCGAGAGGACAGCGTGGTCAGAGCCTTTCCAGGGAGGCCCCGCTGCGAGACAGCCAGGCCCGGAGTCAGACTGCCCCCTAATGCTGTGTGACCTTGGGCAAACCACTCAGGCTTTCTGAGCCGCCGTCACCTCTAGTTGAAAGTAGGAGTGAACGTGAGGCCTGCCTTGCAAGGCCGGTGCCGGGAGGAGGTGGAGGATGTATGTCAGAGTGCGGGGCACCTGGGGGTGCTCAGCAGCGTGACTGGCCAGCAGGAGCAGCAAATGGAAAGAGGAGAAAGGGTGGACCGGGCCAGATGCGCCCGGGTCTTGATAGGGAGAAGGCAGAGGAGGAGAGAGGCAGGGAGGTGAAAGAGCAGGGTGATCTCTGGAGGCGGAGGGCCAGAGAAGGAGGTGGAAGCAGCCCCGGAGGCCTGCCGGGTCCTGGGCCTCAGGGCCAGAGAGGGTGGAGGCCGGGGCCACGGGCACTGTGACAGGGGTGGCATCAGCCGTCAGTCGAGGGTGGGAGATAGTCTCTGGAAGGACAGATTCCCCTCCCCAGTTGGCTTGAGTGGTATAGGGGTCTCTGAACCAGCCTGAGCTGGAATCATCCAGAAATGTCACCCTTGAGAGACATTCTCCCCACTCCCCACCCTCTAGAGAGAGGACACTGGCAATTAAGGATTCAGCCCGACCCAAGCTAAACATGATGCTTGTGGGTTGGGGGGAAGCCTAGTTCCCCTGGTCATGCTGGGCAGGGCCCAGGTGTCCCCAGTGGGGCTGCAGGCTGCGTGCAGACGGCTACAGGGTAGGTGAGCACTGTCTGGGGTTTAGTTTTGTGCAGGGATAGGCTTGTCATCAAAGAGCTGAACAACTGGGTCAGCTCCCCCTGGCGTGCTCAGGCTGTGAGCCATGGGGTGTCAGGAATGGGGGTGCGGAGTCTGTGGCTCCTTCCCCACCAAGCAGTCCTGGCCGCGCGGCCCCACAGCGACCCCTGCTGGCCCTGGTGGGAACCTCACCCGGGGAGCCTCCTCCAGTGCTGTGGGGCGACATGACCTTCCCAGTTGCTAACTTGGGGGCCCTCCTCCTCCCTCCTTGAAAGGAGGTAGCACCATACCTGAGCCTGGGGCAAAAAGAAAAAATATGGGCCCCATACGTACTTATGAAAATGCCCACCTGGCTCAGTGGTTGAGCACTGACCCATGCACCATGAGGTCACTGGTTTGATTCCATGCCCAAGTTGTGGACCCAATCCCCAGTGGGGGGCATGCGGCCAATCAATGTTTTCTCTCATGATGTTTCTATCTCTTTCTCTATAAAAAAAATCAATAAAGAAAAAAAGAAAATAAAATAAAAAGAAAGTGCCCTCCTGTATTTTTACCCAAGTGGAAATATTTAACAAATGCTTATAATAATAATAATAAAAAGCCTGTGTATAAAACCCCACTATGCCCAGGCTGCTGGCCTCCCTTTGTCAACACTTACAAACGGACTCAGCTGGGGACACGCCAGCCTTGGAGGCTCGTGAAAACAAACAAGAGCCCTTATTTCAAACGTTGGTTAGTGAGCTCTGCGGTCTCCTTCCTGGGAGGGCTGAGAGGTGACCCCCAGCTTTACCAGTGGGTGGTGGCGGTGGAGGTTGTGGGAGGCAGCAGCCAGGATTTGTTTCTGATGTGGGTCTAACACGAGGTGTTGGGGACTTGATCATGGGGTGAAAGAGAGGGCAGGTGCGGATGCCTGCAGGGGCTTTGTCCCGCCGGCTTCGCTTACCAATGGAGTGGCATGTCCTTCGGGGAAACAGCCAGGGAGGAGTAGGTTTGGGCAGGACAGATGTCAGGAGTTGTTCATCCGCGTGAAGCGCATGCACAGTGATGCTGTCAGAGCGGGGGCTTAAATCTGGGATTGGACGAGGTCACTGGGCAGAGACTGTGGGAAGAGAAGAGGGGCAGGAGCACTTGACCCTGAGGTCAGGGGTAAAGGGGCAGGGGGGCAGGGGTGGGGACAAAGCCCTAGGAGCTGCCAGGAGAACACCTCCTGGGGGCCACAGAGGGCTTGCCTGCGAGCCCTGGCTGACTGCTGTCCGTGAGGGATGGACGGGGCCGGGCCCTCACCTGAGAAGCCAGTGGGCACGGGCTCTGCGGGCTTGGAGGCGACAGGGGAAAGTGGCTTGACTGGGGAGGGAAGGGATGACTGAGATGTGTGCCATGAACTTGAAGTGAGGGCAGCCAGTGCCTGTCCCGGGTGCCCCCTGTAGTTAGAGCGTAGAAACCAGTTTTACTCAGGACTACTGCAAAGGGGTGAGAGACCTCAGCATAGAACGGGCTCAACCAGGGGCACAGCCTGGGCAAGCAGACCGGCAGCCCCGCTGGGAGCTGGGACAGGCCGAGACTACTGAGGAAACACCAGGGGTAAGGGCGTTCTGCCTCAGCTGACCTAACAGGATTCTTGCTGAGGGCAGGCCAGGGGTGGGGGATGGGGTGGGGTGGGAGGGTGCATGATGGAGAACCCCGTGCGGGATTGGCTACACCAGCTGAGGGGAGTCTTGCTAAAAGTGGACGTGCACACAGAAGCCCCAAAGTCAGGCCTAGTGGAAAAGACCAGAGTAGAGCTAGAGAATCTTGTCCCTTTCTCCCTTGGGGCGCAGGGGAGCAGCAAGTTCCTGGGGGGGGGGGTTCCTGAATAACTGCAGGCCCAGCCCTGGATCCTCTGCAGGGACGGACGACAGCCACACGGAGGGGGAGGCAGCTGACTGACCAGAGCCCATCCAGTCCCACAGGGGCTGAGGGATCCTCCAGCCCTTTTCTGCAGCTGGGGTGGGGGTGGGGGCAGGGACATGGGGGGAGACACATTGTCTTTATCCACCCAACTTTGTCGGATCCTCCCCTGCTCTTCTGAATTCATTCAGTGAATGTTTCCCAACATCTGGCTGTAGACACTCAGAAGAGAGGCGCAAGAAAAACCGAACTGTCTTTATTTCGAATGCTAGTTCTGCTCTGGCCGGTGTAACTCAGTTGGCTGGGCATTGTCCAGGTTTGATTCCAGGCTAGGATCCTGGTGGGGGCTTGCAGGAGGTGGCTGATTGATGTTCTACTCTCTTCTTGCTGTTTCTATTTCTTTCTACCTCTCCCTTCCTCTCTCTCTAAAAATCAATAAAAAGCCCGGCCGGCGTGGCTCAGTGGGCTGAGCATTGTCCCATGGACTGAGAGGTCCCGGCTGGATCCCCAGTGGGAGGCCATGCAGGAGGCAGCCAATCAACGTTTCTATCTCTCTCTCCCTTCCTCCTTCTCTACAATCAATCAATCAATCAATCAATCAATAAAATCAATACAAATATTTTTAAATAAATAAAATGTTGCTTTATTTTAAATCATGAATTTTGCAGGCATTAATTTTTATTTCCAAAAATAGTGCATTAAAATACGATTTCTCTTGCTTTTTGGAGTTTTCGGTGCTTCCTTAAATTTTGCCCATCAGGTGGGTGGCTCCCGGCCCTCCTCCTGGCCTCTGCTCTGACAGTGAGGCCCACGCCCATGGGGGCGCTGTGCAGACAGCCCCCAGTGTGGTGTCGGCCATGGTCAGTCATAGGAAACAGCTCAGGGTACAGAACAAGGGGTGGGGGCTGCCATGTTGGACGGGCAGTCAGGGAAGGCTTCGGAGGAGGTGAGGTTTGAGCAGAAACCTGAGATCCGGGGAAGAACATTTTGGGCGCAGGGAACAAAGGCCCTGGGGCAGGACCAAGAAGCTGCCTTGAGGAACAGCAAGGAGCAGGAGGGGCTGGAGCACAGAATGAGGGGAGGCAGTGGGGCTGGAGGGGTGAGCCCTGGGCCGAGCCAGGACTCTCTGGGACTCTGCATTCTGTCTGTGACCGTGGGAAACTGTGGGAGGATGCCACGTGACTTGATTCACTTGTGAAAGGCTCCTCTGGGTGCTGAGAGGAGAATAGGATGCAGGGACACCTGGGAACTGCAGACTAGGGGAGGCTTTGCTGTTGCCTGGGAGAGATGGTGGCCTCCTTCCCTGGGTCATTGCAAATTGGGGGCCAGCCAGGAATCCCTGGGAATGTGTCAGGCACACATGGGGCCTCCACAGAGTCGACTGCTATTGTTGTCCCTGTGTGACCCCGACATAAACCGCGGACTC